ACCAAGGAAGAGGAAGAAGCAGAGGCAGCGGCGGCCGCTGCCACTCTCAACGCACCATACGGCGCGGGACGTGACTACTCCGCTACTGCTCAATTTAACCGCTTCACTGGCAAGTTCCAACAAGCTGGCCAAGGACCGGAGCTTCACAACGACGAAAATAAAAGCAAGAGGCAAATGTATGCCTTTTTCGACGTAGATGCCGCTGCAAACAGCCACGACGGCCGCAGTCTCAAGGCAGAGCGCCGTGCAAAAACTCTCTCCAAGAAGCAACTCAAGGAATACAACGAGAGGCGCAAGGAGAAGAAAGAAGAGAAGCGCAAAGCCTGGCTCCGCTCCGACTGAACCCATGGGCGGTAAGGCAAGAAAAAAGACGACAAAGTCAATACGTCCACTAATGCGACCTAGGCATGGGCAGCAGCGCCATTGACGTGATCAAGTTGCACTCATCTTCCCAGGTAGGGCCTGACACTTGCTTGGTCTTTGTACCTTTGATTCATGGATATGACACGTTTTTCTGGAAGAAAGCCTACGCTACGTTTGAAGTTGTTTGTTTAGCGTCGCGCCACCAACGATATACATACTGCACGGGCACGCCCATGCTCTCAGCGTTTGCTCGAGCAAGTGATGACAGATCACAGCAATCCCATTCCTTATTCTTTGGTCTAGAGGTGTCTATAGAGCCATTGGGAGGAGCAAGAGGCCCGGGCTGCAACTCATGTCAAAGACCCAAAAGCGGTCTTGTTTGTTGTAGTGCTTATCCTAGAGTAGGATGCAATGACAATCCGTCTACCACGCCCTCGGTCTAGAATCTCTCTTTCTCTGTCCATCTTCCGCACGCATAGTCGTCAATCTTCCCTACTAGCACCACGGCTTTGATCATGTGCGACGCAGACGCGGTCGTGCTAACTGCAGATCATGCCATGCAGTGATACGCTTGCTGCACCGGCATTCCGTCATACTCAGCATATACGCTTCCTTGCAAACGGGCAGATCGTAAGCAAAGCGCCTTGATTGCCGGCAACGGTTTTCGGCTGCTCAACCATCCTTTGTCATATCGTCCTGGGTATTCAAGTGCTCCATTTGTTGCCGGGCGTTCTCCACCGCTGATCCATCTGTCGTCTGCTGTGGGGATGTCTTGTCGCCCCCTGCACTGCCCACATCCTCGTCAGCACTCTCTTCGGCTGACCCCTCGCCCGTCTGGCCGATGCCCTTTTCTAGTTCTTCAACGGCGCCAAGCAGCCAGTCAACTACGTCGTTCTTGTCGTTAATCTCCGCCTCGTACACGGCGTCGTGGCCTGCTCGGTTGACAATGGTAACATCGGCACCTGCATTTATGAGAAGTTTGACGCTTTCAAGGTGGCCATTCAGCGCTGCCCAGTGAAGAGGGGTGTTGCCTGCTTCGTTGACGGCATTAAGAAACTCTGGGCGAGCCTTGTCCGTGCTGGTCGACAAGATCAATTTGATGACGTCTAGGCAAAAAAAATGTCAGATTTGGCAGTGTAGTATCAGCGCTCTGGGATGGTACCATTGTGGCCATTGGCAGCAGCATAATGCAGTGCGCTGTTCTTAGAATACGGATCGGTGGCCGCGGTCAGTAATTCGGCCTTGGACTGCTTAGCCTTGGCTGACAGTTCGGAAAGAAACGAATCGAGCTCAGATGCCTCATTTGTGCGCGCGAGGTAGAGGATGTCGTCTATGGTGTCCTCATCTAGGCCTGCCATGTTTGCTGTGCGTTGCGTTTGGATGTGTCTGCTCGATAATTCTGTGCAAACAATTTTTTTGGGCAGGGTTCGCCGAAGGAGGAAGGCGGGGGCGGGGTATGAGACGCTAGTCCTGATGCGTCTCGGCGTCTTTTCTAGTCAGGCAGGCTGAACTGACGCTGCACCTCCTCACCCTCTCACATCCCCCCTGCCGGTCCATGTTGCATGCACGCTACGCTTCTCGGCCATACACATACAGCCAGCACCTCCGACCTGTCGTTGTCCTTTCGTCAGCATAAAGTCATTTTGATGCAGCACCCCTGACTGCAGATCGCGCATCCTTGATGAACGAGCACTGCAATCAATCTGTCGAAGCGCTAGAGAAGGTAAGCCCTGTACCATGTATGGCGTGCAGATTGACGGCCCAGCAATCATGCCGCCCACTTTGGTGGCTGAAACGAGCCAGTAGCCGCACCCGTATCCACAGTCTTGAGAGCCGCTGTCTCTTCGAGCACACGCAAGGTCAATCCTGGCATGTTTCGCCCTTGCGTTGACTGTCAACTCTGCCACAACGGAGCATACTGAGTTTGTCTGTTTCCCCGGTTAAACATGGAGTCTCTGCAGCCCTGGTTTAGACATCTTGCATTGTTGAGGCGCAAGACCAACACAACGAATATACATACAAGCAAAGTACCCTTCGCTTGCCCTTCAGCTCCCATAAAACCCGTATTCGCTCAATCAAACCATTTCTAGGCCTACGCCAGAGTGCATCGCCGACAGACATGCTTAGGACTAACTGTGCAGCCAGAATCCTTCATTCAACAAATCCAGGGTATGTCGCTTGACGGTTGAACGGGGGTCTCAGGCCACCTCACTGCCGTTCCGCTGACCCTTGTCAGGTAATAGATTGGCACAAGAGTTTCGATCCATGAACCTGGTCCGCCCGCAAAGATCCGAGATCATAACGGGCCTAGGTACATTGCGTGCCTCGGTGCGAGCATCGTCACACCAACCCCTGCTGCTTTCCCTTCCACATCACAATGTTCGCCAACGGTTCCACGCACATGAGCGATCGGCCCTCGGTGCTGATATGGTACTAATCTAGCACAAACTTCTACATTCTTAATGCTACTTGTCCCGTGCTTTGATGTGTCAAATCGTACAAGCACTACTAACTTCCAGTAAGCTTGGATCGACACGGACGTTAATATCGACCTAAATGAAATGGGTATATTGTCCGTCGGATGACAACCGAGCCCAGTTTAACACACCAGTAACAATACAGGAGGCCAGTCTGCAGGTACGCTGTGTTTCTCAAGGCGCTCCTGTCGGCTCTTGTCCATAAAGCTGTTGGCTGTGTCTCTTTCCACGGATGGATGATGTTCCGTTGCTCAAAGCTTCCACTCTAGAGTACTAGCGTACAACATGCGAAGCAGCAGTCGTGTCCTCCGATTGATAACACGCAACCATGCAACTCTACTAGATTTGATCAATTACACCTTCACTAGACTGAAACAGTACAGATCCTCCATGGAAATTCACGTACGGCTCGCATTCGTACTTGGAGTCCGATGAAGCTTTTTGCGCACACATACCACAGATGGGAATACACACTCCTTGCCAATGCATCCCCCTCCGACGCTGCGGCAATGTACAAGGGTCTTTCCGTCAATCCTACAGGACAAGTCGGTGTATGTATGTATATACTTGTACCAGGGCAATCTACGTTACATTTCCAAGGTACCGCACGTGGCAGCGTCCGACCGAGTCAACCTCGATAGGACAACCAATATTCTTACGGTGTTTGCCAACGCTACTTTAGCACACCATCATTGCTTGCTGTGCCACCGACGCTTGCAAAGCTAATTTGCTTTTACCTTTCTTCGATGCACACTAAGATACCCCGCGCGTACTCGGACGGCACGGCTAGGCCAGTGCAAGGGTCTTCTTGTATGGGACACAAAGGCGGTATTGGAAGCCGAGTCGACAAGTATTGCTTTTTGCGGTAATGTACCGAATGTCTACTAACCGATTGCCTTGTTGAGCGTATTACATTCGAAGGAGTGGACGCCGTACGACACAGCCGGTTGGACCTTCCTGCTACGCCGTGTGGCTGCATTTGGACCAACATTTGTCACGCGAGTGCGGTTGTTCGAATGAATAAACTTGGCAGAGAGGGATCTCCCAGCTCGTGTACGCATCTCTCATACGTCGGTTGTGAGGTGGCGGAAGCACCGGGTCAGCGCTACATTGACGTCGCATGAGAGCCAATGCATGACATCGTGTTGTACGTCGGCAAAGCATCTGAATTCCCCATAGAGGCTTTGTAGGTACGTAGGGTTGGCAAAAGCTGTCGATCTACGTGATAAGGGCGGCTCCGAGCATCCCTAGCTGCTGCTGCTGCGCTTTGACAAGCAAGGGTAATGGGTGCCTAAAATTGCTCCCTGTGCCTGCGCGCCGCCTCGAGGCGGACCGGCAGCTGGTGTTGGCGTCTAGACAGGGAGTAGGTTCACGAGGCCTTTGCTCTTGAGGATTCACATGTCAAATCTCAAACAAGCAGTCGCCCCTTCGAGACCCCCCGAAGCGGGCCATGTACCTGCGGGAAGATCCTGACAGAGTTCTTTAATTATTTGCCAACCGAAGCAGGCAACGGAACAAATTGGCATCTGCCGAGCTCCCCCATGAACATTTGTTCCCGTCCGTCACATCTTACCGTCCGAGCTTTTTGACAAACCCTCGCTAGAAATATAAATTTTTCCCTATTTTTCCGGCTGCAGAAAACGAAAGGGACAAGGGAAGGAGAGGCTAAAGTACACGCTCCACCTTCCCGATCGTTTCTGGAAGCCCCCGTGTGTGCGTTGGTTTGTTTAGAAAAAAAGCCCCGAGCGGGAAGGCGGACCTTGTACATAATTTTTTGTGTGTTGGTGCTTCTCGAACGTCTATTTGTAGGTCATGGCTTATACTATACCACATTGATCCTTGCTCTGTTAAGTTCACTCCCCTCTTCCTGCCGGCTTGGCGTTGGGTTGGGTTGCTATTCAGGCAGAATATAAGGAGTTTACCGTCATGTATGATGGGGGATACAATGCTGATTGAATTTATTCGGCGACCGTTGTTTTAGGGCAACGATAAGGGACAACGGACTGTTGCGTGAAACAGTGGGGGTGGGTGGGTGGGTGGGTGGGTGGGGGCGAAGCGGGTAAGACTGTCAATGTGTGTACGCGGCAAACATGGTTAAAATATGGGAAATTTTTACTGCGATATTTTAACCTATTTTGCCTATCTCTTCTTCTTCTTTCTCTATCTGTCTATATTTTAGCGGTCATTGTGGATCCCCCGGGACAGCAGCCAATTTGGCAAATACGAAGGGGTGTCACGAAAAACGTATGAAAAGTCACGTTTATGAATAACGGGGGGAGGGTGGAGGGCCGTTAGCAAAACTTTAAAAAAAAAGTAACCCTTGGAAATGAGTAGGTATCGTCATTGTCGTCCTATTTTTTTTGTTTTTGAAACCTCTTGTTTGCTAGCTACTTTTACTTACGTATTCTGATTCTGTGTGTCTGTGTGAGAGAAAGAGAGTCCGGCATTTGAACAACGCTTACCCGCTAGCTCGCCTACATAGCTAGGTAACTAAGCCATCATGCGGGCTTTTTCCTGTGTTGCTACTATACATAGTTTGTTATCTGGATTCAAGGGGGGCCTTGTTAATATCGAAATGTTATGTGTAGGCTAGATAATGGGACAAGCATATTTCCGTTCTGCTTGAGATGAAAAGTTATGACATGTAGAATTCCTTTGTAGTATACATTGCGAAAACGTGTACTTTTTTTTTCTCTGACGTACAGTACATGTCACATCGCGTAAGGTACTGTTGCACATAGTATATTGATGTATATCTGTCGACAAGTATACGTATATGTAAGGTAAGGGAGGGGGGTTTTTTGAAAGCGGGTAAATACGAGGTGCAGGTTTTTCTTAGGGCTCTTGGGGAGTATATGGACGTGCGTTATGTAGGGTTGTACGTAAGTACTCTAGGGTTTGTGTAGGTAGATGACATGTTTTAGTGGGACCCGGGTTAGGCTGGGATGATGACGCACTTCGTGTTCGTTTTGGTAATTTTGACAATGGGAGGGGTTGTTGGGTGGCACTGGTCGTTTTGTGCACTTTGGGCGCCGAGGCGCCGAGGCGCCGAGGGGAGAGGGAGCGGTGTGATGAGAAGTTGGGGGATGAGTGGGTTTGGGGGGAAAGAGGGGAGATGTGATGTTGGGTTTGTTGCTCTTTTGCCGGTCTTCTGGATCGTATGTAGTTACATTGATTTTTGCACACGGAGAACCTGGAGTTGGAAAGAGAAGTCAGTGGCACTGTGTTTAGTTTAGAATGTGTTGTTCAACGATACCGTATACGTGGCAAAGGTACTGGGATACAAGTCCTTGCAATGTTCTTTCTCCTCATGTGTCTTCTTTAACACTGACTCTACTAATGTATACCACAAGTCTGTGTGACCAAAAACAAGAGAACAGACAGATACCAGAAGTGAGTGGCTGTAAAGAAAACGTAGCGAGTACAACCCGGGTATCGTCAGATCCTGTAATGTGTAGATGTGTATGCGAATACAACTCCTGTCACAATAGAAGAAAACAGGAGTGCGCCCACTGAGTACGCAGGAGGAAAGTGATGCAACAATATGCTAGAGGGGCAGATTCCTGTGATATTTTGTATTCGCTGTCTCTACTGTTACCTCCAAAACTCTCCTTATACGGATGCGGATACGGAACTATTCTTGTGCACAGTCTACTGGTATCCTATGTACTGGGACGATACCAGGAAAGCATCAGAAGCAATGAAATGAAATCAAGAAGCAGACTATTCGTCATGGTATGTGGCGGTAATAGTACATGGAAGACAAGAACAGTATAAAGTGTGAAGAAAAGAGGTGAACTCACGCCCAGGGCACCTCGTAAGTGCCCCCATGTGCCCCCACTTTTTGTTCAAAGAGGAAGAGAATATGAAAACGCCAAAATCACTCGTATCAGACACAAACCGCGTTCGTAGAAAATAGACAAGAGAAGAGAAAAAAGGCCCGTCTACTCCATATAGCAAAGAGCGATAAACAAGGAAGAAAAGACAGACAGCTTACTCTTCGATCAGCGCACCCAGAATCAAACTCTGAATGACAAACTCTGCACAAGTGATCCTAACGGGCTTTCCATTAACATCTCCCTTGACGAAGAGTTCTTCTTGGACTTCACCATCACCATCTCTCTTCCTCTTCTTGCCCCCCTTCTTAGACTTGCCACTTACAGCCGCAGGTTTCTCTGTACCGAGTAACGCAGCCGCAGCCTCGGTGACACCGTGTTCGTCATTGTCTACATAAACCCAGTCCCAATTGCCATCGGCAAGCATGTCTGACGCAGCTGCTACATCAGCGCAGCGACCGACGTTTGCAGAGCCGAGGGCATGTGAGAGAAAGAAGAATGGTTGGCGTTTCTCGATTGCCTTTTTTGATTTTCCGGTTATTAGAAGGACATTTTGGTCACGTAGAAGCAGGTCGCGGCCTTGGATTATCTGCGCAAAAGTGGTATCCTCGCTGGCTGGATCATAGGGGGCCATTGTGCGTGAGCGAATGACGCCGTTTGGATCGAGAAACTTTGAGACACCGGCAGGCAAGAGGTAACGTGTAAAGGGGGCAGCGCGAGAAGCGTTGAGCGAGTCGTGAATCCAACGAACATGCAAACACGGAACGTTGAGGGCGAGAGCTTGGATGTACTTTGTACTGCGAGAGTGGGCATCCGAAATAAGTGCAACAAAACCTAGGTCCTTGTATGCCTGCTTGAGTACCAGACCATTAGATCCCTCGAAAGTAGAACTTGTTCTCTGGTGGTTTCCAGAAGATGGCGGGACCTCCTCTGACTCATAGTCAAAGAGTTCGTGAAAGCCATGCTCTAGTACCTGGCCATTGTTGCTTTTGATAAGTCTGGTAACGCTGTCCTTGTCCACATCCGCTGTCGTGGAAGTGATTACAAAAGCCATGTTTGAGAACACACCGCTGCTAGATCGGGCTGTCGAAGCTACAGAAGCAGCTCGCGTGGTAACATCTTTCAGAAAAGATAACACTGCCGTTCCGCGCCGAGTAAATGAAGGAGTAGTCAAAGGGTCTGCAATAGGAGTGCCTATGTATGAGACTGATTTGGTTGGCGAGATCATCGATGATAATGCAAAGGATCGATCGCGAAGTCGCTTACAGAGCGAAGCGGTCAGGTAGATGCTTGCCATGGGTACTGAGATGTGTGCAGATGGTTGAAGTGCTTTGGCCTGTGGTAAACTCTCCCTTGGTCTCTCTTCCAGGACGACAGTCGTGTGCCCACGCTGATCAGTAGTTGGAAACTCCTCGCCACCAGGATCATTGATCCTGTCTTTGAAGCCCACCACAATGTACGTATTTTTCTTCATACCTGGCTCATCCACCTTGACCTGGTCACCCTTGCGAAGGTCTAGTGCTCTTACATGTGCCGCGTCCATGTATGTGATGTTACCGTCGTCATAACGGATCTGAAGCTGGCGAGCTGTTGCACGACCAACACACGTAGCAGGATAATAGTGGCTTCCCGGCCAGCATGCAAAAACCCTATTCGGCACAATAATTTCAGGTGGAGTCGTACTTCTCTGGGATAGATCTACGTCCATTTTCTCAGGATTGGCCGGCTGGGGAGCAGAACTAAGAGGCATAACTGTTTGGCTGCCGACATCATCCATGTCCACATCCGTTGGCTGCTTCGCGATAGCTTCGCGAGATTTGGTAGGCGTAACTGGGCTGCTAGTCCGAGCACAGGCAGATCCTCCTGATCTTGTAGGCAGCTGTACAGGTGAAGACATGGTTCGTAAGAGCTCTTTTGAAACCGATTTCAATGCACCTTGTCGTTGATTACGAGGCTTGGAGGGCTTGGGCAGAACTTTGGACTTCAATGAGGTCGTTCGCGTATAGGAAGGTCGCGCTTCTTCTCTTGTATCGACCGTTGCAAGCGCATTCTGTTCTTCAGGCTTGTGAGTCGGTATGACTGACGGGATCTCCTCGAGTGCTAGCTGAATTTGGTCGAGACGAGGCGATGGAGGAGGATCCGAAAGCGACTCTGTATCAGTCATCGCTCTTGGCGAATCCCGGAAGGCTTTACGTTTGGCAGTATATGCGACCCTGCGCCGCTTCGCAGATGGCGCAGCTGGTGAAGACCGTTGCATGAAGACATCGCCGTCATCATCCTCCAGCCCGCTCAGTCTAGGCATCTCCACATCTTCTTCATTTGCTGAATGCTGAGTCTCGGGAAGATTATAGATATCGTCCAAACACCGGATGCGGTCACCTTCTAGAATTGCATCGCTTCCGTTGTCCTTGGAACTGATGGGTGCTGGCAGATTGGAAGGAGATCCGTCACGGTCTTCTCTAGCCGTCTGAAGAAGGTCTGTACCCTTCGTTTCGTTCTCAACAACAGTGTCGTCCTCTGCAACTTCTTCTAAGTTCTGGACCGCGAAGAACGAGGGTTGCGTTTCCTCAAGTGCGTCTGTTTCTGGAATTGTATTCTGGCGCTGCATCCGTGGTGGTCCGAGTTGTTTGTTATTGGGCACGTTGTGTCCAAGGTTCAAAGCCTCGGATACTTGGTCAGTTTCCACGTATGTTTCTGCCGGCTTGACAAAGCCCAGCTCTTCCTTTTCTGAATACACCCCTTGATCTCCAACGATGTTGTCTTCGCCTACAAGCCCTTGCTTCGCTAGAGGCAGATCATCTTCTTCATCCATGGCCGTACCCTCATCAATTGTTGGGGACAACAAACCTTCTTGCTCTCCAACTCCCTCTACATATTCATCGTACGTATGTTCATCGTATTCCAAATCTCCATCTCCAGTCTCGGCATCACCAGGGGGCAGAAGTGGCGGGCTGCTGGGTACCCGCTCTTCGCCCTCGGGTGTCACGTCGTCTTCAGCGCCACTCGACTTGGGTGGCATTGGAGGTACAGAAGATGAAATGACCTGGCTTGTATATCCTGTCTTGGTAGCCATGGTCGTCTGGTTGATGCTGTATTGGTTTGTTGATGGTGATGAAGGAAAGCGTAGCGATTTTGGTCGTGGGACGCTATCAAAATCCGCAGTAACATCTGGCTGAGAGTCCATCACGGCCACTGATTCTCTGCTGCTTGGCGGTTGGAATGATTGATGGAGACTGTGCAGCAATCCGATTTCTTGTGGTTGGTGTTCTCGATGCATCAATGAAGCTTGTGTATTTGGTTGAGAGGAGGCCCGTGAAAGTGGGCCTGAGGGAGTCCAGTGAGGATGCGAAGAGGTTTTTGGAACTTGCACGTTATGATCGTTACTGTTATGTCTCCCCGCAGTCCGTGCGGTATCAGGCACCTGCTGTGATGATTCATCGGCGGGGTCTTCTGTGTTTTGTTCATTCGTTCCATTTTCCGTAATAGATTGCGACTGCTCATCCATTGTCACGTCATAGTCCTCCACTCCGCTATGCACTCCGCTTCGCGATGTCTTTGATTTTTCGGGTGACGGATAATCAGTATTCCTTGTGCGCTCCTTGGTCGAGCGCAACAACACAGGGGTTGGCGCTGAGACGCTGGACAGGGACCTGGCGGCCTGGCGATGGGCATGTTCTTTTGCTTTTTTGGCCCGCACTTTGCGAGACAGTTCCTCCCAGCTGTCCTGCTCTACGAGGACTCCATGTTCATCTCCTACAGATAGTTTCCTTCTTTCCTGTGACTGTTTCATTGTGACATACTCGGCACGTGGCTGACTGGAGGATCGTACTACGGGGTCTGATTTCGGTGTCTCGGGTTGGGTTACTTTCATTGGACTCGAGTACGCTGGTATTGGGCTAGAGTGCCGTATATGCGAGAAGTTTGGAGAAGGGCGCGAAAAGATAATGTCGTCAGTTGCACCTCCACCTATTACAGGCGAAGTGGGTGCCTGGGTATTGTTGAAGGCCTGTGTAAGGGAAATGTGCTGTGCAACCCCTTCACCTCCATGGCTCAGCGCTGGAAAGAATAAGTTTGCAGAAGTGCCGGTGCCAGGCGTCGTGTTGGTCCGCAATGCTGAGCTAGGCATTGGACCTGAGCTGCCCCTCGTTCTGCCTGCCAATGCGGGTGTCTGGAATTTGAGCGGACTTGTGGGCGCGAGGCTGTTCTGCGCAAAATCACCCAGTTCATCGGCGTCGAGCACGGTAGGGCTCGTAGGCGTAGGGATGCGCTGGTCCTGGCTCGATGCAACAACGTCCATTTCTTCTGTAGGCGATTCGTCACCATCATCATCACCATGCTTAACAAACAGCGATTTGGGAATGTCTTTGGCGTCGGTCGTTGAATAGATTCCACTCGTCCATGTCTTGAGCATCTGACTGTCTGGCTGTGTATCCCCTGGCGCATCCGTCATATTGAAGCTGAACATCTTTGGTATCGCCACCGGTTCCTTTGGGTTGCCTGTGCTCGTGGGTGCGCTGTAATGTTTGGGCAGAACGGGCTTCACATGGTTCGCATGGACGGCGCGTCGTGGGGAAGCACCGCGATCGAAGAAGGGTGCGGCGCTGTGGCTGTGGCTGTGGCTATCCGGTGGCTGGCTCTCGGTCGAGGTGGTGAAGAAGAATGGCTTGTCGCTGCAGGCCCGCTGCCGGAGGGCCTGGGAGAGCTGAGATGGATCCTGAAAGTGGCGTCAGTTCAGAGACGTGAATGATCGGCGACCGGGGTTGGATGTCGCGCTATTCATCACTCAATGCATATGCAAGACGGCAGCTCACATCATACAAGTCCTCACCGAGCACCGTGGAGGCCTGTGATTCCTCCATTGCGACGGCGCATCTCAAACCGCGGCTTCAAACGACTATGGTGTTGGTTTCGCCTTTTCCGCTCGGATCCAACCAACACGGTTACGCGCCAATTGGACGATGCACACCCGACACGTAATCACGTGCCGAAGGGCTAGCGAAGAGTACAATAGGCTTGCTCCATGCGCAATGTTTAAGTACTGGATTCTAGGTGAATCCAGTTCCTCAACTAACAAAGGAATACAGAAACCAAAACGAAATGTTCTTTGTACTTGCTCGCATGTGGCTGCACATGCTATGTTCGATTCAAAATATACATAATACATGTTGGCTTCCCCACTGTTGCCCTAGATGTGCCCCACTCCTATTCCCGTTGTTACTTGATGTCTCCAGACTCCGACTGCCTTTCGCATTCCAACCATCCCGACTTTTTAATCGACCTTTCTTTTCAAGACCAATTTTGGTCTAAACCAGTCGCAGCTCGTTTATGCCAGGAAAGCATAGTAAAGGGTCGAGACGGCTGTCAATCCAACAACACCCCAGCCGGTACGGATGACCTGCTGGTTCTTGAAGCCAACACCCATATCCCAAGCCAAATGCCTGACACCATTGAGGCAATGGAAGAAGAAGGGGAGTGCGAAGAAAGTCTTAACACCAGCCTTGACCACGGCGGGCCAAGCAGCAACGGCCGCGACCATTGACTGTGTTTCGAGGTGCCATCCAGTGTAGGGCGCAATGAGGTATGCGATTCCGAAGAGGTAAAGAGAGCCAGACAGGGTGAGACCAGTGATACGGTTGAGCCCTGAGGCAATCCAGGTGATTTGGGGCCTGTAGATGGCAAGGTGGGGCGAGACTGGACGGTTGATGCGCTGCTTGGCCAGGATCTCAGCAGCTTGAGACTGGGAAGCATGTTCGGTCGCTGCGAGTCTACATTCTTTTGTTACTATGGGTCTTGGTGTGGATGGGTGGCTGAGAAGAGCTTCGTCGTGGTGCTCTTGCAGGTGCTATGACATACCTCCGCTGAACCATGCGTCCTGCAGGCTGCACCCTCAGGCCTGGCGCAGCTGCGCGTCGCAGGCCGAGCTGGAAAATGCGCTGAGAAGCCATGATGGTGTGTCCCGATAGCAATTGACAGTCGGTCGAGAGGTGGTTGAGGGGTGGATGATGTCGTCGTCAATACACGTGCTACCCTTCGCCAGCCCAAATCTTCCCGATTCCCGAGGTCCCCCGTGTGGCCAATCAACTGGTGCGCATTACGCTGCTTAGTCACTCGCTTCGCGGACACCCGATATTTTCTCGCGTGCGGCTGCCATGCTCTTCTTCTTCTCCAACGAACCTCGATATCGCCGGCAATGAGCGCTTGACGTGCTGAACTGCAGGAGTGACGGCCTACTTTGTCTGCTGGCGTTATGTCAGTGGATGGGGCTTTTGGAGGGATCGGAGAGGGATTGCCTGTATTAATCGCTTGTGTCGACGAAAGCTGTGTCTGCACGAGTTTCATATCAAGGCTACATACTTGCGTCATGTGTTTGTGATGTTGCTGTTTGCTGGAGTGGCATTTGTATCGCTGGCTGTGAAGCAACGTGATGCGATGAGTAGTACTGGCATTTTCTGTGCTGAACGTCAGCACGCGCCTACGTCGGTACATCAGCTCACTACCTATGACGATTCCAGGGAACATGTTCATCTAAGATGGGCCTTGTTCTCTCAGTCGAGATACTACAGTTGCGACCCTGGATGACAGGGACTCATGATGTGCACTGGACTTGAGTGAGGCAAAGACCTCGCGCTCGTTGCTGTGAAAATTTCTTCTTGTTACCTTAATCAATCAAACCTCATCTTTCGTGACCATTACACCTTCGCTGCGACCCTGGCAATACCAAATACTTGTTCTGGCTTCGCTCAATATGGCGTCTTTTAGAGAAATCGCCAGTACCGATGCCGGGTTTTCAGCTGGCTCGTACATTTACAAGATCATCTCTACATCGCCACGACAAGACCCTCTTACCTACTCTCTTACCGACCAACTAGCCTTGATATCATCGGACGACTCTCTCCGCTTTCTAACAGCAGATCTACGACCCGATGGTCACGTCGCCAAGGCCCACGACAACATCACGTGCCTAGAACGAGCAAATGATGCGTCCAGCAACGTAGTCGCAACTGCAGGAAGAGACGGATTGGTAAAATTCTGGGACAAGCGAAGCAAGCAAAGAGTTTTGCAAATAGAGAGCCGTTAGTTCTCAACGGTCCAGATCTATGAGGCAGCAGCTGACGGGCGGTACAGCACACAAACTCATCTCAGCACTAGTATGCGATGCCGAGAAGAACTTGGTCGCAGCAGGCATTGAGAACCCAGAAGATGGACCTAACAGCTCTCCAGTTTACATCTGGTATTTTCCCACCATGTCTTCGATCCGTTAGTCCTCAGGTCATACTAAGTAATTCCCAGGGACCAGCGCAATCTCTCAGCACCCTTACGCTCCTACATAGATTCCCACACAGACACCGTGACAAACCTCTCCTTGCACCCTTCCCTTCCAAATCTGCTCCTCTCATCCAGCACAGACGGACTCGTCAACATCTTCGACAGCACCCAGGCAGATGAAGACGACGCCTTGTACCAAGTTATCAATCATGGCTCTGCCATTGCCCACGCAGGCTTCCTATATCCCGGCACAGACATGTACGCCATTGGCACGGACGAAACGGTGAGTTTCTACGCGCTACAGAGCCAGAAAGAGGAGGAAGAGGAGCCAGCGCCCAAGGTATGTGGTGATGTGAGGGAAGAACTGGGCTGCGAGTATGTGATCGATTTGTGTTGGATTGGCGCGCAGCCATGTGTAGCAGCCGGGAAACACAGGTACGTCCTTCTGACAAAAAAAAACCACTCTACACCCACAATTCCAGGAGCTAAATACCACACAGCGAGAAACAAGCTACTCTCACACCCATCACAAAAGGCACAAACGGCCCCTTGGACTACACCTTCGATCTCACAAACGCCACATCCCTTGCTGGCGCCCACGGCGAAGAAATCGTCCGCGACCTCTTCACCGATATACACGTAAGTCCCACACCACCTTCTTTTCCTTCCTTCAAACTTTCATACACCATCTCCTAACCCCCAAACCCCCAGACACACACCACATACACCTGCGGCGAAGACGGCCAGATCCGCGCATGGAAGACGTCAGACAACGCAGACATGCAAGGTGACGCGGCGGCATCGGCGAAAAAGAAACGCAAGGAGAAGAAGGAAAAGGACAAGGCGAGGTTTAAGCCTTATTAGATAGATTTGTCTATCACTCTCATACAAGTAAAAGGGAGTAAGTCATGTCACAGCCCAAGGCGTAATCACGCCTCTAAAAACTCCACAAGAAAAGCTAGTTATAGACAAAAAGCGCTATTGCAACCACCAATACAACATCTGCCAGATTGAGGTTATCAGATGGACTGTGAGGTGTTAGTACCGTTATCACCACTTGCAATTAGCAAGGTAAAAAAATCACAATCGATCAAAAGTCCAAAAAAATAAATAATTCACTGCCCTATGGTAGACAAAAACAACTCTGTACCCCATCCTCTCATATCCCCTTCACCACCTCAACGTACCCATAATCACATTACCCCTCACAATGCCAACCGTGGCATTCTTTCCCTGTGAATGACCAAAAGGGGAGACGTATACACTTTCCATTGAATCAAAAAAAAGATGAGAAAAAAAAGAAGGATCCGGAGGAGGAGAAAAGAAGGAAGAAAAAGAAAATCAGTAATCGACTGCGTTAACATTACTACATACTTACTTGACTGCGTTACCAACGTCTACACATCTATTCCTCATCACCATGCTCGCTTTGTACAATACTTTCACCTTCCCACCCCCAAGCCCGCAAATCACCCTCATATCTCTCTCAAAAAATCGCCTCATCTCCAAATCGCTTGGCATACATACCCAGCGCCTTGACAGGGAAGATGAATTTGTAGTTGGGGTAAGAAATCATGCTATTACCCAGATTAGTCTCGCATTCATAACATGAAAGGGGGAGGGGAGAAAGGAAAGAAGAAAAAAACTCACCAAGACTTATTAAACACCCCCTCAATCGCTTCCTGCAGCCACTCCCCATTCTCCTGCTGCCTCTGCATAATCAGCTTCACCGCCTTGCGCAAGGGCTCCTTGTCAGGAAACCCAGCCTCAATCATGGCAATAATGACCCACGCAGTCTGCACAACCTGACTCTGAGGATGCTGACGCCAAACACCATCTTCGCAGCTCTTGTACGTCTCGCCCCACCCACCATCAGGCATTTGCTTGTCAAGGAAGAACTGGCAGGCGCGACGTACACGCTCGGAGTTGTCGTATTGCTCGCCAGAGCACTTGAGGGATTCGAGGGCGAACATGCCGGCGTAGGTGAAGCAGATGCCCCAGCTGCCGTACCAGGAGCCATCTGGGCGCTGGGCATCGCGGATGTAGGCTACGGCACGGTCGCGGAAGGCGGAGATTTCGGCGGAGCGATAGTCTGGGTAGTGTTGCTGGAACATGTGCAGGGCGGTTACGACGGCCGTGGTGCATTCGGGGTAGTCGTATTCGATCATGATGCGGCCAAAGACTTCGGCGGCGTTGAGGTGCTCGAGGAGGACACTACCGCGAGTGGGCTCGTACGAGGCGCAGCCGCCAGAGGCGTTTTGCATGGTGAGGAGGACGTCGATGGCGTCTTTCATGCGGCGCTCGTTGATGAGTTGGGGAAATTGGTTGTCCTTTTGCAGAATCAAGACACTCTTGAGTCCTTCTGAAGTGCAGTCGCTGACGGTGTATCCTTGTTTGCGTGTACTGAAGCCCCACGCACCTTTACGCTGTTGGCGGTAACATGCATGCTGATCTCTGGTTTCTTCAAGAATTTGCTGGTCCTCCAGGAACTCGAGCGATTTCCTTAGCATAGGTTCCCATTTCTTTTCCTTGGACCAGCCACACGATTCGACAGCCTGGATCAAAAATGAAGTGTCCCATGATTGAACACCATTAGTGCCATTCATAAGCATACCTTCGTCCTTGACCCACATGAACTCTGGGAGTGTCTTGAGATGCTCGCGGACAGCATGAGAATCAGGGCCGTCTTTGATGTACGCACACAATGTGTTCATAGGACCGTTAACCGGGCCCAAGTTTGAATAGTTGGTATTCTCATCTTCGGCTTCAATGAGCCAGAGTACATGCTCCTCTGCACGCTTCGCTAATCGCTCAGTGCGAAGGAAAGGCCACCATATGGTAACTACGAACCAGAACAACACCTTGAGGAGAATAGGCTTGGGATGATAGTTATCTGTGGGCGAAATCGTGTTCCGATGTGCTCCAAAATTGATGGTGTCAAATGGCTGCATGAGTAGCTCCGCCCTTAATTGGCGGGTGAGATCGTTGAGCGGATACGACCATTTCTTTGCGTAGATATACGACATAGGCAGGAAGACCTGGCGCATGTGAATCCACCACCTCCAGGGCGCAATAGGCACCCAGTCTGGAAGTAACCATACCTCAGGCGGACATGGGTTGACAATGTCCCAGGACGTCACGCCCAAGACGCTCAGCCAGAACTTGCCCCAGTGTGGCGCGTTGAGCGCGCCACCAAGCTTCCACAGCGTCTCCCGTGCTTTGCGCATTCTTGGGTCTTCGGCATCCACGCCTAGTAGACGGAGCACGGTGTAGTTCATAGACGTTCCAAACACGGTGCTCTCGCCTTCAATGTGTAGTCCCCACCCGCCATCTTCTGGATGTGCTCGCGCAAAGAGGTAGTTTATGATCTCGATTGCGTGAGAGGCTGGGACTGGTGTCTCGGTGACATACCAGACGATGACAAGGCCGGGGAGCAGAAACATTGGGCCACCGTATTCGCAGGCCCAATTGCCTGGCGGGAGTTGGAGTTGGGAGAAGAAGGAGAGGCCATTATCCGCGGCTTCGAGGGGTGTCCTTGCAGGCTTGAGTTTTGGTTGTTCCTACGCCAGTCAGTTGGGATGGTTGAAACTTTAGTGCAGCCATACCGGGGTGGCTCAAGGAAGGGGATTAAACATACAGTGTCGAGGCCTAGGAAGTACTTATCAGCCGTGCTCTGCGGCCAGGCCTTCATCTCCTCGTCAGTCTGCAGATAATGCCATGTCTGGCATCCACGGTCGTCTTTCAGCCTCCATCTTGTGTAGTCGGTCTTTTCATGGCCATCTTTGTTTTTGGTCACTCCGACTGCATCGTTCAAGATTCTCTGGGGTGCGCTACGCTTCGCAGTGCCATTGGCATGTACCATGGTGTATACTGTTCTGGGAAGCTTATTTGGGGGGCTGGAGGATTATTTCCTCTACACGCAAGGGTGTGGTTGCGGACGCAGTGAACGTCTGTTGCGGTGAGTTACCATGTTCGTACATCTTGGCAGGGACACGCGCCGCGAAAGGCGACGGTACTATTCGTCCGCCGGCGAACAACAGCATTAAAAGCCAAGCAATACGCTCAGGTTGCCCTCACGCCTTCAAAGATGCGCTCCATCATCTCTCTTGTATATTACCAAATCTTGCCTTTTAATCACCATGGAAAAACCTCTCTTTACAAACTTTACCTGGCTCAACCCTGCCCTGGACCCTGATCCACAGCGCCACCCCCCACCCACGGCCGACCTACCGCCAACCCAGACAATCGTGATTCAAAACTAATTAATCGCAACCATGGCCAAACCATTCTACCCGACGTCTGTCAGCTTCTTCGTATCAAACAAGCCACGGTTTCACACGCTTCATTTCCACTCGCCACCTTTACTTGCACATTGTCGGCTGCGGGCAGACGTCTTGGCAGGTACGCGCGCGACGATCGACTCGGCTCGGGCGAGCCCTAAATGTTGCCACCGCCCCTTTATCCATGCGCCGCAAAGTCGCCGGATGATTTCATTAATAGTTTTGCACGGCAACAATCCACTTCCATTTCCGTGGATGAGTGGGTGCATCGCCGAGGGGATGACGTTAATATGGAAACAAATGACGAAGATAGGTGGAGACGGATCGTATTCTGAGGATGCAAACGGGGCGACGAGCAACCAATAGAATAATGGTATAGTGTTTATGCTTATGTTGTGTGTATGTAGCATGTATGCGTGCAATCAATCAGTCGTTGCCTATGGAGCAAATGCGGCCATGGCGGTTGTGGTGTGGTGTGGTATATACAATGATGTAGTGGTGGTGATGATGACGAGCGAGCGAACCACCAGGGTGTGCCATATGCGCTGAGTCTCAGCCAAACAGATAAAGGAAAAAAGTCACCGCTGTGACGATACGAAACCCCATCTTGTAGCTGCGTATCCAAAGCAGAAACAGCCAAAACTCCCAATCCCTTAAATCTGCTTTTGCAGATGCTCAAACAAACAGAAATACAGAAGTAACGGCTAAAGAAAACAAATACTTGACAACTCTGTTGTCCCGAACGAAAGAATAGGAGAAAAAAAAACTGCTGACAATGGTTCGCGTTTGGTGGAATGACCGGCTCTCCTCTAGTATGGTGTACTCATGCGCAAAGCTCAGTATCAGTAGTAAAATCGTTGTTTCGGGTATCGCAGAAAGAATAAACAGCTTCTCGTCCTCACTCGCTAGTCACTGAGGTCTGGGTTTGCGACGAAGAGTCGTGGGCCCATGGTCATAGTCCGCTCATCCACACTGCCTCGCCTGACCAGATCGTCTTTGCTGACCTTCTTGTCTGTGATAATAGGGGCCTTCAAGTGTCCTGGCGCAGGCATCTGACCAACTTCGCCAAAATTGCGCTCTCCGCTGCTCCCACTGCCGGTACTCGTGTTTGTTTTTGTGTGGTGGAAATAGCTAGTGTCGCTAGGCGCGTGGGGGTCATATTCGGCAGGCGAAGGAGTGGGCTCTTCTTTGAGGTCGGCAAGCTCACCGTCAGGAGATGAATTCTGCGGTGGTGTGCTGTTGGAGGATATGCGACCGGTTGGGTTGGCGTAGGATATACGGCGACCTGAACCTAGGGAGCTGCGGCCGGAGCCAGTGCGGTGGTGATACTGCCCGTTCTTCATTGAGCCTGCATCCTCGTCGTCACCCTCGTCTACTTCTGAAGCGCTCAATCGCATTGGAACCCCGGATCCTGCGTAGGTGACTGGAGCGTACAATGATGCTTTTGGCAAGCCGTGATGACGTCCAATCTTGGACCGGACCCCGCCGGTCATGCTCGAGCCTCCCGTAGCACTGCGTGGTGGAGCGTGGTGTGGTCCGCCTGCAACCTCCATGTTTGCTCGCATCTTGGCCTGGCGCTGTTGGGCGAGCATGCGCGGGTCTTCGTACTGGGCGCGATCACACCATACAGTGGCTTTTTGCTTGCGCATCAGGGCAACATATGAGGTGGGCGAATTGCCTCCCGAACGCGTGGACGAAGAGCGGCGAAGAGCGCCGCTGTTGGAGCGGTTGGGGGTGCCGTTGGTAGAGCTGGTGGAGGAGGTGGGAGTGCGGCGGAGGCTGCTTTGGTACTGGGATGGGTATTGCGAATTCATGTTTGCGGTAGTGGGCGAGGGGGTTGGAAATACACCAGAACTGGTTGTTCGTGTCCGTGAATGGCCGAGTTGGTTGTCGTTGTAGGCCTGGGATATGGGTCGCACTGCTACGGCTGGGTTGGTTACGGGTTTGCGGCGCAGAGGGATGGCCCCGTAGGCGGAGGGTTGTGGGGGTTGCGCCATGACGGCCTGCATCTTGGGTTTAGGTAGTACTGTTTGCTCGCTTGCCGACGCGCGTGCGTTGAAACACGAATCAGCGCCCTGACGTCAGGAGTGACTGCGCCCACGGGAAAGCAAAGAAAAAACACAAAGGGCAATATGGTTTTGGCAGCGTCCAAGCGCACGACGGCGAAGAGGAGCCGGCGTTTATTTTGTAGCTGGCAATGGCGATATGGCGGATGTGGTGGCTTAGCGCCCCGCTTGCAGCAGCGTGGGATGCAGCCTTGCCGTTGCAGGGGAACCGGCTTCCCAGTGCTTCCGGGCGACGGACGATCTGAGGAGATTTACGGCGGGGGCAATGGGGGAAATACGTAGAAATTAGTGATGCTGATGGGATACGGCCGTCAGACGGAGCAGCGGCCACGAGCAAGACCAGGTAGACGGCGACGCTTGACAGCGGGGAAATTTGTCAAATCACCCCGCGGCGGAATTGAGACGAGTGAGGCTGAGGGGTGCAGCGATTTGGACGAGGCCCAGTCGAGGCAGTGGCGGGCGACAACTAAGGCCCTTAATAGCAGGAGTCGTGGTGGCGCGAGGGAGCTACTAGAAATGGTTACTAGAGTACCAAAGCACGACAGGAAGAAGGAAACAAAAGTCAGGCCAACACGGGTCGGACGGGTGTTTGAGGCCCAGAAGGGCGGCGGGCTGATGCTTGCAAGCAGAGCGAGCGAGCGAGGGTAGTGCGTGCAAGCAGCGGGTGCGAAGGTGGCATCGTGCAAAATAGAATGGCGCCAAAAGCTGACTTACAGATGCAGTCTGTTCCTCTCGCAGCTAGTCGGATCCAAAGTCACGGCAGCGAGGCGAGGCGATGGTCTGATGGCTAGACGGCCCAAAGCAGCGTCGACAGAGTGGCAGTGTGGGAGGCGACAGCGACGGCGGCGGCGGCGACGACGACGACGACGACGACGGTAGGGTGTGGGTGTAGCAGTGGGACGTGGGTCACGGGGCGACGGTGATGGTGAATGGCGAGCGAGGTTCAAGGACGAGTAGTGTAGCAGCAGCAGCAGCAGAGGAGGGAGGGGAATAGGCGGGCATGCAGGACGGCGGGCGCATCTACTACTTAGTACTCAGTAGTGGTACCAGAAACAGCGACAACAGCACAGGCACAGTGCAGGCAGGCAGACAGAGCGAGGCAAAGGCAGCCGCCGTGTATCGTACTATATCTTGGTCGTGGGTACGCTCCGTCCTTGCCGTTGGCGGCGACGGCGCTAGAAAGGCGAGGGCGTGAGCCGGCGGGTGGGAACCACTCTTCTCTCCTGCTCATGCTCCACCCACAAGACGGTCAATGACGAAAGGCCTTGGTGCCATGCTACGCCATCCTCAACCCCCCCCCTAGCCCATAGTCGCCCTGCTAACGGCTGAAAACCGGAATCCCTCTCGCCTCCAGCGCTGTCTACTAGTAGCCATACCACACACACTTCACACATGGCCATGCGACATGTTGTAATTACACGCCATACTATACCACCATGCCATTCACTCGTAGCCCCAGGCGTCCAGACTGCAGAGCGGAGCCCTGTCCGGCGGCGGCATACACCTACTGCCTTGGGCCCTGTATGCCGAACATCCTGGACCCGGCCGCTGCGTTGCTCTGCTCTGCTGCATACTTCCTCATCGCTACACCTTGCAAGTACCCTTCTTCACTTACCGCGTCGAATCATCGGCAAACGTGGCTCGAGCATTGCTGCTGCATGATCGTCTCTGCTGCATCCACCTTGTTTAAACGTCGCATCGCATACGAGCCCACTGTATACCTCTGACCCGACCCGACCAGACCCGATCACAAGCCGTCTGTCTACCTACCTAGCATTACCACCCACTCTATGGATATACGTAGATAGCTACATAAAGTACACCGTGTTTCATGCCCAGCAGCCGCCGGTCTGGCCGATACGAGGTTACGTTGAGGTCATGACCTCAGGCAACGTCAAATGCCTCATAGCACCAGCACCGGCTCATTCTTCACCATCGCTAACATCCCCCCCGGCACCCTCGTGCCGGGATACTACCAAGGCCCGCCTCAAAACACAGCGTTTCAGCTGCAGGTGCCTGTCTTGCCCTCGACAAGACGTGTGCATGAGCAGGTTGCCGCAACACTGCCCAGCATTACACTCGCCTACACGACTACTGTCCTTACACCCTACCTGGTCGCTAACCAACATGTGTTTACCCTCAAGGTGGGGTTTGCATGCACGCCGATGCACCACCAGCCGTTCCCCGCTCTACAGCACTAGAGCTCTTCCATATCATCAGATCGTGATCTCTCCTGCCCAAAAAAACATCCCAGTTCAAAAAAATTGTTGAGCCTCTTCGTCTCCATCACTGTCGGCCATTCCTGACCCGCACCTCCATCACTCGCACGATAAAAAAATTGGCGCCCGCCGCCGCGGAACCATCTAGCAACAACAACAGCCCCCCACACCCCTCTCCTGACCATTATCGATAAATTGGATGCGTTTCTGCTTGTCTATCGATAATTAGTTCTATGGAGATGCCGGTAATTGCCACATGTATTTCTGGAAATTGCAAGGAAATTGCTGTGAATGGCGCGAGCACGCTGGTAATTTGCTGCTGTGGCGTCCGTAATCGCCTACTTACAGCCATATCCCTGGATCATCATCATTTTCGCCAGCTGCCGCCGCGCAAAAAAAATAAAGGACCCTGAAAAGCTGAACGCTGAGGATTCGGTAGATCATCGCTTACCCTCGACGTCCGAGTGCTCGCAACCCCGCGTTGCATGCGTTGCTGTCCTGAACCAGAAAACCCATAAATGTGTCAGCACATGCCAACATTGCCGTCTTTTTAGCGGCTATGAAAACAAACCCTCACCTCCCATGCCATCGCCGACTCGGGCGAACATGCGCTGCGCTCTTACCAAAAGGCCAACCGCCTGTCCCTAGCGATGCGCCATGATTCGTGCTCTTACACCCCCACCACGAAAAACCACTCTGCTACCACCACGGCCACCGCCTGTAGCGCCCAAGCCCTCGGGTTTTCAAGGTGCCACAACGTCCGCAGATCTCTTAGCTGAATGCTAGATCGCACACCACCTTTTTTCTTTCTCTCACAAGAGAGAAAAAAAGCCTCTAGTGGTGGAGGCCTGCCATGCGAGCTACAGTAGTGCGTCGCTTGCACTCATGGGCGGTGTGAGAGGCACTGCCGCCTTGCGGCGCGGATAATGCCGTGCTAACGAGAACTGCACCTGCATCGTGCTACGACGACTGGATATGCTATCTCCAAGACTGCCATCGTTATCGTGAGATTCCGCTTTGGGAAATAAGCATGCATCCGGTCTGTCAGATGATCCGGTTCCCAGCCCGCTAGCATCCGGACATGGCTCCGTGTCGGTAGTGAGAGCTCTTGTTGTGATTATGAATTGATTGTGATGGACATTGTTTTGTTGCACAAAAACACCCTTGGAGATATGGTACCGTGGCGCGTCAGCATCAGCCGGCAGCACCATGGCTCGTCTGTGCCCCCAGCTTGGTGCTTGGTACTCTGTCTAGTGATTAGCGAGCACGGCAATGGAACGACTGTGCACGTGGAGTTTTGGGTGCGGGTATGTACAGGTCAATTCTCTGGGGCCGACAAAAAGGCACGGATCTCTTTGAAGCTACTTCATTCAGGGCTTTTTGTTTTCGCAGCCATTGTCAACCTAATAGACGTAGGGATTCAGCTTGTACGGCGTCTTCTGCCTATATGACTCCCACTGCGCACCGTACCGCTTCTCGCAATACTCGCTCAAAACGGGAATAGCCCGCTGGCTGAAATCCCAGGCCCAAAAGGCTGCGACCAAGGCACCCAGCCCGTATCCTCCTCCGGCCATTGCATATCCCGCTCTCCACATCATGTATCCTCCGTAGTTGATGTGCCGCGCCAAACTCCACAGGCCCCCCGTACACACCTTACCCTTGTTGTTTGGATCAGCTTTAAACCGTGCGCGCTGAATCTCCGCAACAAGCTCCGTCAAGAGACCAGCTACGTAAAGCGTGCTCCCAATAAGTAGCGCCGGCTGTGGAAAGTCCCCTTCATTCGAGGCCGACGAAACAGAAGTGACAAAGGCATATGTGCTCAGACTATTCGACGCCGCATTGAGCATCGCTATCGCAACCGCCGCATCTACTGTCATCGGGTCCCTAGATAGTGTTGTGACCCAGATGTTCTGCTTGACCACCGAGCCAACTGACATGGCGAGCAAGGCCAGCCGGTAGGGCGACAGGCCTATAGGCCATCGATCAGCCCTATACCCGTTTGCGCAGGCAGCCCGCTCGGTAGTGTTCGTAGTCCCACGCGGTGCAAAACGGATGTGCCGAAACCATGCGCTAAGATCGAGTACTGGAGAACAGGTTCGAGGCTGCGGAGCACAAAGAAGGTAAGCTTTCCGGGGGGTGAAGACCTGTAATCGCCGCGCGGAACAATGTCCTCTCTCTTGGACGCCTCCGACCGAGGGTCTTCAATGCTGTCCCGTTGGCCAGGCATTATCCAAATCAAGTCTGTAACTCAGTTAGTACCATGCGCCGCAGCCACCATCTCCACAGAGCAGAAGTTATGTACCTTCAATCTGCGATTGGGGTGTCTGTTATTCCTAACTGCAACCGATGGCTTTTACCCCGGTTCTACGTGTTCAAACACCAGTACCTAGGTCTCTTCTCCGCTCAATTGAACAGAGAGAGTAAACTCCATTAGTTTACAATACGTTTGGTTGTCGGAGGACTGACACCGATAAATCGGCTTTCGGTCGACTAAAATCACCGGATAAGAAAAAAGCTCAATATCAAGGAGATGCAACTACATACCAGCACTATTAAATCACACGATTTTCTTCTGAAAGTCTATCAATCTATAAGTAAATCTCTAGCACTTTATCACACGAAATCTATGTGTTTTTCTTCAAATGCGTGGTGGTACAGGCTGGTTCTATTACAGTATTGTAGTCTACCAAGAGGATTACATGTAGTAGTCGCGGTTCATGGCGGATGCGAAGGCAGGCATCATCTCCACTTTTGTGTATTTATTCCCCGCAAGCTCATGCATACATTCGGTGTTAAGTCATGTTATGTGTTAAGTGACGATATGCGATAGAGATACGATGATGTCTCAAAAAGCCAGACCCAGACAATCGCGCCAGGACTGAGCAATCGGAGTTAAGGTTACCTGCCCACTTTGGCGTGCTGTTGGTATATAGTACTACGTACCTCCACGCACCTAAGTACGGCAGATCCCGTGATACCCCGCATTAGCGCCATTTCTTGCATCCACCCAGTGCATGCCTGTCTCCTCGTCCGTCTCATCTTATTGTATTGAAACCTGCCTGTCGATATATCTATTAACCCTGCCTGTCACATTTTTTGACCCCAGTGGTTTTGTCACGTTGCTGTTGCCCAGTGTATGCGTCCACGTTCTGATCAAGGGTCATCCTGGCACGGTTGGTGTTTGCCCTGGTGATATTTGTCTGACTATGATGAGGATACTGATGAGAGTATACGCTGAACGGCCATGCACCTTTTCGGCATCAGTGTCTAGATCTTGAGAGATAAGGTAGATCGAGATAGTCTTAGTGCAGCACCCAGGGCATTTCGGCTCGGCGTTTCTCGACGCAGTCACACACGCGCACTTGACATCAGGTCAGACATCGACAGTCAAATCCATTTAAGGATTGCAGAATCTAGACCCAAGATTCAATACCACAAGTCAGCAGGATTTATCCATTAGGACCGAATATGAGTCTCACATTCAATGCTATCTGTAGCCTATTGCAAGACGTTGAGAATATTTCCACGAATGGACCACGACCACCTTCAAAGCAGGAACAAGAGGTCATCCAGCAGGCTGTTTCGGACTGGTTCCAAAACCAGAGAGCTGCCATTGACGATCCAGATACGGATGGCGGAGCTGTGCTCTCCATCTTACTTCCGCACCAAAGGAAAGACCGCGTGTACGGTTTGCAAGCGCCCTTGCTCGCGAAGAAACTCGCACGCCTACTCACCTTCAGTCATGGACAGCGCACGCTATTCGAAAGCTGGAAGACGGGCACCTATGGCGACCTGGGCGCATACGTCGAACGCGCCATGAAGCCTTGGGATGGTACCTTTTCCAGCAAACCACACATCACAATCAAAAGAGTTAACTGCCTGTTGGTGCAATTGGCGGCCGGTTGTAGATTCTCGGACGAAAAGACCAGAAGACTTCGTGATCCGGGGTTTAACATCGACAACAAACTTAAAAGTATCATCACGAGGCTCGAGTCGTGGGAAGCAAAATGTTTAGTCCGCCTTCTACTTCGAGACTACTGCACTATCGAATTGGACGAAAGAGTTGTAACGCGGCACTATCACTTTCTGTTACCGGAGCTATTGGCGTTTCAGAACGACTACGAGGCAGCCTTTGATGTACTCAAAGGTGAACTTAGTTCTTATCCGGCCGTACCTGAGTCGTGGGAAGAGGAACCCATGCGCGTTGAGGCAGCGAAAAGACTAAAGGCTAGGGTCGGTGTCAAGATTGGGCGACCGACCTTCCTAAAAGCATGGTCGTTCAGCAACTGCTTGAAGCTTGTTGGCGATGGCGTCTGGGCTGCCGAAGTCAAATACGACGGCGAGTACTGCGAGATCCACGTTGATTTGGAAAATGAAAATAGCAACCTGCGAATCTTCTCCAAGAATGGCAAAGATGCAACTGCAGATCGTACTGCTCTACACGGCACAATCCGCAGTGCTCTTCGTATAGGCCAGCCAGATGCCTTGTTCAAAAAGAACTGCATCGTTACCGGTGAAATGGTGGTATACAGCGATAAGGAGAAGAAGATACTGCCATTCTCCAAGATTCGCAAGTATGTCACGCGCTCAGGATCCTTCAAAGTCACATTAAACAGCTCTGCGGTGCATCAACAGGAACATCTCATGATTGTCTTCTTTGACGTCTTAACTATAGATGATGAGCCCGTTTTGCGTCACTGCCTCGAGGACCGCCGCAAAATTCTTCACAAACTTATCCATGCCGTACCGGGTCGGTCCATGCTCTCAGAGTGGACCTTGTTGGATTTTAAGACAGGGAATGGTATAACAGACCTTAAACAGACATTCGCCCGCACCCTAGCCGATCGCCAAGAAGGATTGGTACTGAAACCGTTGCAAGCGCCCTATCTGCCCTTGCTATCTGAGCAAGGCGACCGTCAAACAGGTTTCTTCATCAAGGTCAAGAAGGATTATCTAGCTGATATGGGCGATGAGCGAGACTTGGGCGACTTCGCTGTCATTGGAGCCAGTTTTGATGCGCAGGCTGCAACGAAGACGACTCTAAAGCCTCTACACTGGACGCACTTTTACCTAGGATGCTGCATAAACAGGGATGCGGTCCTACTGACAGGGGCCAAGCCCAGGTTCACTGTCGTCGCTAGTTTGAGCGTTGAAAAGTGTATCCCAAGGTCTGACGCAAAGTACCTGAACATCCAGGGCTATATCCGTCAGACCACTTTGCATGAGGGTGGTGCCACTACTGAATTTGACATGATAAATCTCAGGGACCACTACTACTATAGCCGGCGTATGACTGTCGCCTTTAGAAGCCCCTTGATTGTTGAGATTCTGGGGGGAGGCTTCGACAGGTTGCCTCATGCGTCATTTGAGATGCTACGTCATCCGCGGGTTACGAAGATTCACCATGATAGGTCGTGGGAGGATGCGGTTACCATGCAGGATCTGGAGCGCATGGCGAAGGAGAAATTTTCAGTGCCTGATGCGGATAAGCTTGATGGGCATGCGAGAGATGTTGCTTTGTTGGTTGAGAAGTATGCCAGGGAGAGAAAGAGGTCTCAGGACACTGCTGCTACGGAGTGTACGACGGAGAAGTCACAGCGGATGAGTCCTTGTCTTTTGCAAGAGACGCCGCGGAGTCCACCCACAGAGGCTGAATCCCCTGTGTCATCTGGTGGTTCTGAGGTGCAAAAGATGCAATTTGATACTGACACTGATATTAATACTGACGCGTCGAGTTCTGATGGTTCTGCTGACAAAAGTGTTCAGGCCAAGGGTATACGCGCTTCCCGCGAATTAAGGTCATGCAAAGCTACTCTTAAGAAAGTGAGTGCCTTGGCCCCAGACCCACAGAGTCTGACGGCACTAGAGGTGGCTAGCTCAACTGTTAGTGACACCAGCCTGCTATCTGGTGTTGTGACAAGCAAGAGGCGGAGCCTCGTCGAACCCATTAGTCCGCCGAAGATTAAACGGAGAAAGAGCCGCTGTCCACTGCAGGTCTCGGATGGGAATCGGCAGGTGAGCCGCTTGGATTTGGACTTGGACATGGGTAAGCAGAGCGGTTGTATATCTGGGGGAGAAGGAACAGAAGACGAAAATAGGCTGTCGAAAGAAGAATAGATTGGATAATAGTATCACACTATTGCTATCTCATTACCTCCACAAACGACGTGGATGAAGTAAACAGCAAGACCAAAAAAAAATTCCCACAAAAAAGAATTTGAAATAGATCTATCATCGTAATCTACATACGAAGCATCTCGCATTCCCCAAAATCCATCCTCCAACTTTCTTCCCAACACTTTCGCCGCTCGATTAAAGACACTTACCCCCATCTGTCACTCTACATCTCCGACTCGCAACACTTAAAAACCCGAAGAACACTCTATCCTATATGCCCCCTTTACCCAGAACCGCTACACTAAACTAGCAACATACACGTACTCACTCCTCACCACATTCGAATCTTCCATCGATCCTGACTCTCTTATCTTGTCAGAAAAAGAAATCACAAGTCTCTTCCCTTAACCTAGACTAGGCGTGCGGACTACGGAAATGATCGCACGAAAAGGATTTTATATACGCGCGTTGTATAGTAAGTTGTTGTTGTTGTTTTGTCCTTCTGGACGGAGGGAAAGGGGGAGAAGGTAGGGAGGTACTGGGTTGAGGGATAAGTATCAATAATTTGGGCTGCGGTGTGATGGCTTTTGGGGCACGTTGTACGGCGGATTGGGGTTGGATTGGGGTTGGAGATATTGATGTAGTAACGTGTGTGTGTGGTTATATTCTGATACGTCCGATCACGGCGTTGTTTCTTTTTGTTGGGCGGGTGGTAGCTGTGTTAGTTGGCCCAGGCCAAAGGTTACAATGGGAAACGGTGTTTTCGTTTGCTACTGGTGTAGGTTACGCCAAGGGATTGTCGCGGTAGGGTTGAATGGAGTATGGACATGAAATGTGCATGCTTAGGGAGATTGAAGGGGGGATATGGAGGTATCTAGGGAGGGGATGTGTTACTATGGGTTTGGGACTAGAGAGGGTGTGGGGCGGAGTCGGAAGTTGGCAAGGGAGGCCAAGGGATGGGAGGGTTTTTTTTTAGCGAGTTTGATGATTTCCTGGAGATGATTCATTATTCTCAAATGAAGTAACGGTGGGAAAACGGGTTGTTGGAGGTTGCGCCTTGTATAAGGCCGGGAGGTGATGGGGTAGTGCGACGCTAGTCCCGATGTTGATATGGTATGTAGGTGCATACTTATCGAGCATTATGCCTTACTCCCCACTCAAAAATTGACAATCAATATGCTGGAGAAAGCACTTTAATATTGATGGTACTAGCTTAGCACTCTTCATTCACAGCCCTAATGCAATAGAGGAGCATTGGAGATCTCCAAATGGCCGTGGTTTTAGCACCGGTAGATGTCATCGCCATCCGCTATTCGGTGAGCATTACCCCGCGTGGAGCAGAAGCCCCGCGGGACTCCACTCGCTGTTGGAGAAACGTAACTCAAGCAACTGACTATTTTAAAAGCCATGGCTGTCTACGAACAAAAAACCCCTTAAATCCAATTGCTCTTCTTTACACTTGCCAAGTTCATTGAGGAGTCCCAAGATATCATGGCTTCCAGTACGCATATTCCACACCTCCAGCAATATGGAAACACCAAACAGCTCGTCGTTAACGGCAAACCATATCTCATGTTGGGAGGTGAGCTCCAGAATTCATCGTTGTCATCGGCAGAGTTCATGAGCGAGGTGTGGCCGAAGATGGTTGCGACGAATGTGAATACGCTTCTTGGGTCTGTCAGCTGGGAAATGATTGAGCCTGAAGAGGGAAAGTTTGATTTTGAAGAGTTGGACAAAGTTATTCTGGGTGCTCGTGAGCATAGCTTGCACTTGATTTTGTTATGGTTTGGATCGTTCAAGAATGGTGAGTTTGATGCTTCGCTACTTGCTTAGTCTGAGAAAAAGGTATTGATTCAAGACGTCGTTAGGAAGGTCTACCTATGCGCCAGCCTGGGTCAAGACAAATCCGGAGCGGTTCCCACGCGCAGAGCTGCGGAAAGCTGGGGGCGTGATGGAGGTTGCGGATGTGCTTTCGCTGTTCTATGAAGAGGGCGTTGAAGCGGATGCAAAGGCGTTTCGAAAGCTGCTTGCGCATATCAAAGAATTTGACGAGAGACATAGTACGGTGTTAATGGTTCAAGTCGAAAACGAAGTTGGTTTGCTGTTCGACAGTCGGGATGGGAGTGCAAAAGCCAATAGCGTTTTCGCAGAGCCTGTACCTGAAGATCTACTCAAATTCCTAGCAGAAGAGTACGAAAATCTGCACGCTGACCTCAAAGCCAACCTCAAGACGTTCGTTGCGCAGTCGAAGCCACAGTCTGGGAGCTGGGAAGAGGTCTTTGGCAAGAGCAACAGGACAGACGAGCTTTTCATGGCATACCACTATGCACACTATGTGGATCGGGTAGCAGCAGCAGGCAAAGCCGAGTATCCAATTCCGCTTTACACCAATGTATGGCAGAATTATGCAGGCGAGGATGCTGACAACGAAACTCCTACGGTTGTAGGTGGAGGCGGCCAGCCAGGCGACTACCCTTCTGGAGGCGGGACTACCAACGTCCTGGATATCTGGCTTCGTTTCGCACCTAATCTCGAGTTCATCGCGCCAGACATTTATCTTAACGAATACACGACTCTTTGCGGCAAGTATCGACATGATAGGAATGTGCTCTTTATCCCAGAACAGCGAAGAGACGAGTACGGTGTCCGACGGATCTGGATAGCTTACGGGACATTTCAAGCCCTTCTAGCGAGTCCATTCGGTATTGATACACTGGAACCTGGAAGCAATCCCTTTACAAAACACTATGGGTTGCTAGCACAGGTCTCTCAGCTCGTGCTCGAAGCGCAAAGAACTCCTGGCTCGTCGGTAGGCTTTTGTTTTGACAAAATATCTGGCAACAAAGATGCTTCAAAACCCATTCGACAGCGCTTCGGCGACTGGGACATAACTATTGAGCGTGCTTTTGTGTTTGGGAAACCCGACACGGGCAGTGGCATGGTGATTCATCGCGGCGGCGCGCGCTTCCTTCTCATCGGATGGGGCTTCCAGGTTACGGGTCATTCGACCAAACCTGGGGCCAGGTTTAATGGTATTTTGAAGAATGAGGAGAAGGTCGTGGAAGATGTGGCGACGGGGAAACTACGGACGCTGAGGACGTTGGGAGGTGATGAGACAAGGAGTGGAGCGAGTGCGGTGATGCCCAATGAAGATCCTGATTATGGGGGATTTCCCATTGCGATTACTATTCCAGCGCGGACGGGCATTGCGGAGGTGGAGTTTTATTCGTTTTAGAAGTTCCGGCCGGGAGCCTAGGATGGAAAGAAGGGAGGGTGGATGTCGTTGAGCATACGTGGCTATTGCAAGTATTTTCTCCTTAACCAGAAGAAAACCAACAAATCATACATACTGTCCATGTCTTAATTCCAGATGTGTATCTGTACCGAGATGTTCAACAAAGATAGTAGACTCAAGAGGGACTAGCGCCAAATGGACCCTGGCTCTCTCGTAAGGCTGAGCGCCGACGTCCGCGCGAGAGGTCGGATACGTGTTAGGACCACTGGGTAAACGTTGCATGTCCACATAACCGTCTTCAACGAGCCCATCTCTCTCCCTCAAGAGAATTTGCTTATATCTCCACATAAGTGTCCTTGAGCCTCGTGCTCACCTACACATTGAGCATGCACTCGACGTTGGTGCGGCTGCAGAATGTCTTTGGCTTCTTTACCACGGTGGCTTTCACAGTCGCGACCGTGATTGCGCTGAGCAGTCTGATTACACCACAAAACCCCACCGCCAGCATATCGCTACGAAATGTGCAAGTAGTCAAGGGCAGGCCGCATTATTACTCGCCAAAGAGGGAGGAGTACGCACACATCAAGTTCGACCTGGATGCCGGTACGTATACGCATGCGCCTCAGGATAGGCAGATAGCAAGAAGAGTCGCTCACACATATACCGCAGATCTCACCAGTCTCTTCAACTGGAACACCAAACAACTCTTCGTCTACCTTAAAGCTGTCTACCCCTCAACCCGCGCCGGAGAGCCCCCGTCGGAAGCCATCATCTGGGACGCCATCATCGCATCCACCTCGGCACCCTGGCACCAGAACCACTACATCCACCCCGACCCCAAGTCGAAGCTACCCAAGCAATCCGCCAAGAAACGCGCGGCCGCCAAAGAAAAGACACCCTCGCCATTCCCCATTGGCGAGCTCCACCTCCAGAACCAGAAGCCCAAGTACCAGATCACAGATATTACCGGCAAGCTGGGCAATAGGACAGATGTAGTGTTGGAGCTAGGCTGGAACGTGCAGCCCTGGGTGGGCGCGCCAACATGGACGAATTGGAACACAATTGGTGTCTGGAAGGGCCTCGAGGGAGGCAGGAGCAAAGCATTTGCGTTCCCCGAGGTGGGTGCCAAGGCGGCGAAGCCCAAGGATTTGGAGACGGAGAAGGGCGCTGAGGGCTATAGGCTCGAGGTTGGTGGAGAGGCGCCGCTGAGAAAGGCCGTTTCATAGAAAGGGGGATAGCAGGTGGTATGGAGATGGGTTCAATTGAAATTAGAAAGCATTGAGCGATGGTCATTGTGTGCCTGGAAGGAGTTTCGGATATGAATGTCCCTCTTCTATATATTTGCGAGAAATGAAATCTCCTATATAACCAAAATTGCACACGAGGCGACACGTCAGCATTGTCTGATTATTTTTGTTTTCTTTGGCATGTGGCTCAAGAAATAACCAATTTTGTTTCCTTGGATCAAGATATTGTAACATGTGCCAAGAATCGGCTACGTGACCCTAGCAAGGTGTGTAAATCCACTAATGGATCACTGGTGTATAGGAGATTGACCGAGATGTCTAAATATCACTAAGTTACTTACTAAAAAGTCTATCTATTTCTCCATTCTAGGTCGTGGCATGCTAGATACGTGTCACGATACTCTGAACTAAGGCCCAGGAAGACCAACCCTCTGGGAGCCGCCAGATATCCTGACTGCGAAGTCATTTTTTCAATACCGATTTCGGCAGATTGGGTTGTGACCTACAACTCTTTTCGAGAGAAAAATCTAACACGCGATACGCCAACCAGATGCAAACAATTCGAGTAAGTCGTAAGATAGAGTAGAGACATAGAAAAATCGCATAGACTAGGATAGTCCGACCGCCCCGCCCTATGAAAGAAGCGTCGTGGCGATCACTTGGTGTACGGTCGAAACTGAATATGAAGCCTGTGCCTAGTACCAGTACATCGACATTAATTTCCTGCCCGCCAACCACAACGCCACGCTCGGTAAAAGAGTCGATTCCTTTAGCGTCTGTGTCTAGCAGGGTAACGTTACTGCGGTTGAAAGACTGAAGATACCCGTCGTTGAAAGTGGGTCTCTTGCACCACCCAGGATACCAGGGCTTTAGTTTCTCGGCCACTTTATCGTCTTCGACAACCTTGTCAACACGACTGCGGAGGTCTTCTGCAATAGGGCGGTCAATTGCAAGTAGTTTTTCGATGTGTTCATTGACTGTGTCAGGTTGAACAGCCCAGCCATTTCCTCCCAGTAAGCCGGCGCGCGCTGGGTTGTGACTCCATCCATCGTCAACAAGGTCAACGGGGTCCGGGTTGGCAGACCATTGGCTGTCAAGGTTTGCGCATCTCCGGGTTTGCCAGCCAGGTCCATCTGCCACCTTGGCCCACTCTTCAGTGGTTGTGGTCTTTTGCCGACGTTCTCCACAGTACGAGGGTGTTCGCTGGATGACATAAAGGTGCTTCGCCCATTTCGCTAGCTCAGGTATAGCCTGGACTGACGTTGCTCCTGTGCCGATGACAGCGACAGTCTTGTCTTGGAGCTTGGTCATGTCGGGTTTCTCTTGACTGCCGCCAGTAATCGAGTAGTCCCACCGAGAAGTGTGAAATACCTGACAGTGTTTATGGAACTTTTCAAAACCTGGTACATTGGGCATCTTAGGGATAGAAAGTGAACCTCCTGCCATGAAGAGAAACTGGGCTTTCACAGTGAGTTTGGTAGGTGGACGGACGTGGCCTAATGATTGAGTCAAGTCGACAACCCAGTGGCCCTTTGCATCATCCCAAACTTGACGGTCAACTTTGGTGCAGAACATGGCCTGAAATCCATAGTGACTCGCAACCAGTTCCGCGTTTTTTCGTATCTCAGCACCGTACGAGTACTTGTGCTTGGGTACGTAGCCTGTCTCCTCCAGCAACGGCAGGTAACAATACCCTTCAACATCGCACATGAGTCCAGGGTAGCGGTTCCAGTACCATGTGCCCCCGTAGCCGCCAGCAACATCAACGAGGACGATATCTTTATGGCTGAAGCCGGCTTCAATCAAGCGGGCGGCAAAGAGGATACCATTATGGCCTGCTCCAGTAATCAAGAATTTGGTTCTATCGCCGTCCCGTAGTGGAGGATCCGTCTTAGCCAAGGCCTCTTAATCTACCCATGGATCTTTGGCAAGGTCTTTCAAGTTGGAAGAGGAATTAAAGTCGACATATTGGGCAGTCCCTTCAGGACGAATGCGCTTCTGCCTTTCCTGGGCGTATATCTCCTCGATGCTGGCAGTCATTGTATTGATTGGAAGTAGAGAATGAATAGTAATATTGAAGCACTAGAATACTTGAATAGACTGTGCGACTCAAGGTCACTGTGATGATATCTCTTTTTGTTTTAACGGAAAACCTATCCTTCTTATAGTTGAGTCTTTATGCAATATCTACGGTGGCGAGTGTTTGGGGTTACAATCAAGTACTGTGGGTCTGTTCAAGGATCACATGCTGGTTCGTAGGGGTAGTAAATGATAGTGAAGCAGGGTATTGTTCTGGTTTCATAGGGCGCTTAGACCTTTGAGAAAATTATATCTCTCATCAATCTTCTATGTGTGGGTATTTTCGTGGGTATAGCAAAGTGCCGCATGCAAGTTCGCCGGGTTAAGACATTACGCCGGAGCAGAGCATTGACGTGATTTCATATAGTGCCTATACTTTCGAGAATAGTATCACTGTTGAATACAATTGCGAGAAACAAAGACTATATTTACGCCTCGGAATAAACAAGGTTCTACGCGAAGTGAAATTCAACATGCATGCTTTTTTCTATCACATTGTCTATTTGTCAAAACCCCTCTAGGGAGAATAAGACGGGAGGTAAGATATTTAGGTTCGGTCCGTGCGGCTGTGCTGAATTGGGTTTGGGGTATCGACAACAACCCATGAGCTCTCAGACAATTAGACCTGGCATATACCCCTGGTATATCTATTGAATCGGCAGCTGTAACCTGTACTTCAGTCAAATCCTGAACTAGACTTTTCTATTTAAAGTTAAGTGTGATTAGCCCTTGTACATAATTCAGAACACACAAGGAGGCTAGGGAACAGGATGGGGTGTAGGATATGTTGGGGATTGATTGGTTGATGTGAACAGAAACGAGCTATCATTGGTGAGTAGTTCGAATAGTACTTCCGGCAAGTCAATGAGCCGGAACCGACAGACATCGGATATGAAGCTCCCGATACAACAGCCAGAGATCTACTTAAGCTCGGTGCTACTTACTGGTGGTCGAGCATTCTAACTATTTAGCCTAGCCATTATCAAGGCCGAAACCGCCATCCCAACAAACACAACCACCCCATCCATAAAATGTACGGAAGTAGGGATATTCCGGATAACCGCAGTGGAGAGAATAGTAGGAATAGTAGCCGGAATCCGGAGATAGCTTGTCCCGAGCGAATAGGACAGGAAACTCTTGGTCAACTGGTAAAGCTGGGATGAAATCGCCGAGCACCAATAGTAAGAAGTGAGGTCGGAAGAAAAATCGCGAAGTACCGATGATAGAACGTAAAGTCGGAAATAAAATCGCCGACTACCGACGGTATGGTGCCATAGGGCCTGTTTACTTCCGCGGTTGCGTTTTGCTACTAGATTTAGGTTGCGCTTTACCAAGCACGGTATCGTCTTCAAAAACCTAGCCCAAATCTAGTAACAAAAACGCAAAACGCAACCGCGGAAGTAAACAGGCCCTTAATTCAAGACTTTATTGCTACTATAACACTACTAGCAGTATCTCACTTGATATGCACTCGAGATAGAGATATATAGTTACTCTACTCAAAAGCTAAATAGTAAAGGTAACTGGTTTCATAGAGTAGTCTGTTTGTTATACTGGTTAATCAAAAGGGGGTGTGGAGTAGTACTAGTTGGAATTCGGACATAATCTATATCAACCATTAGTATACTTTTGTGTGGGGATGTTCTATGCAGGTTGACGCGGCGGGGAGGGCGGTGTGATATTGGTCGGAAGATGGAAATAGTCTATCCCGAGCATCAGTATAGGTGCGAGGATGTTCTACTATATATGTTGACGCGCGGGGGGGGGGGGAGGCCGGCAGTGATATCATCTAGTCGGAGTCCGGAGAGAGCGTATTCCAGAGTGCTGCTATTATATTATTAAGTTGCGTCCCGAAGTGCGTCATGAGGTGCGCAACGAGCCGACCCGTGTCAACTCTGTGGCTGTTGCTCTCCCAACACATCAACTTCCCATGCTACATAGAAAGCGTGTCGATGACTATATCATCGCTCGCCTTATGAAGGCTATCTTCTAGCTCTTCTTTGACAACTAATATACTGTTCTTCGTCGGAGGCGAACATACTAGGACGATACCGACTGCAGAATCAATAAGCTCCGAGCCTAACTTCACGCAATGACGTATGGCTGAGACTGAAGATCTAGATGAAAAAATGTCTTGTTGCATAGGGTCTCCTGCTACGCAGAGATAGATTTTACTATGGAATCTAGTTCATTAATACATATTCCCTACTCCCTAAGTGAAACTCATCCAAGATAGAATGCTTGATCTACTATAGTGAAAAGAGAGGAAAGGGGTGATGAGACCTAGGCCTGTAGTGGCTGGTGGTACAGACTACTTTCATAATACTACGAGCGTGAGCCATTTCCATACCACGCTAGTTAGACTAGATGTCGGGTGCGAGATACTGACGAAATACGGATGAACTATCCAATAATGACCATAGCTCCTCCAGAACAGCCAACCTAGCGTTTACACCTTTATCAGCCTCGTATTTCATAAAATTACTGTAATAGCATTGTCATCCATCGACTATGAAAGAGTTTATTGGTGGACCTGGTCCTTTATACCCATGTGTAAGGCGTATTTATAGATCATTGGATGGCTGACCATAAGCTGTAGGATTGGTCGGCAAAATCGTCGAGCATGACATCCCACAGCCTGGAGTGGGTCAGGTTGCATTCAAGGTAGCGGCCGCTGGGGTCAACCCAAAAGACTGATAAGAAATGGAACGATCCGACTTCTGTACAAGAGCTTCGGAATAACCAATCTTGGCGGTTATAGGAAGATGGTCGACCTATGGGGGATGTCAATGGATTCAGGCGACGACATTGCGGGCGTCGTGCATGCTGTGGGGCCAGATGTGGTAGATTTCCGGCCGGGAGACCGTGTCGCTGGCTTTCACAAGCCAGGTATCCCAAATGGAAGTTTTGCAGAATATGCGGTGATTGAGGTTAATACTGCGTGGGTTCTTGGGCCCCAGACGACCTTTGAGGGCAAGCCGAAAGCTCTCAATCTCTTTGGCTCACCCCTAGCTGCTATAATCGAGAGATCTAGTTTATTTTAGTCGGCATGTCCCGGAGGCTAAGCACGAGATATGATAGAAGCAGCAACGGCCCCTCTCAATGTCTGCATTGCTGGAACTGGTCTCTATCTGGACCTTAAACCTCTCGTGCCCTGGCTACCAGCAAAGGAACCCACACCTTTGATCGTTTGGGGAGCCACGTCTGCCGTGGGATCATATGCAGTTCAGCTTGCTGTTAAGAGCAATATTCATCCTATCATTTGCATTGCTGGGAGTTTCAAATAGTACCTCGAAGACTTCATCGACCGGAGCCAAGGGGACACAATTCTTGACTACCGCGATTCCGAGGACGACATTAAAGAAGGCATTCGGAATGCCGCAGGCGGGCGTGAGATCCTGCACGCGATTGAAGGGGCGTCGAACTAAAGAAGCGCGCACATCATGGCCGAGACTATGGGCACTGGCGGCCATATTGCTCTTGTGCTTTTTGAGAAAGAATACACTGGCATTCCAAGTCATGTCACACACAACAAGTATAACGTATCGGTCGTGCATGAGAGCGAGAAGGATTTTGGTTTCGTGCTCTCGAGATATGTAGGAAGAGGTCTACAGGAAGGCTGGTTCAAGCCGGAGAGGCATGAGGTGGTACCAGGGGGGGCTCAACGGAGTTATCACAGCGTTTGAGCGGTTGAAGGCAGGCGAAGCCCACGCAGTGAAGTACGTCATAAAGCCCTAGAGGTCATAGATAACTTTCGCTTCTCTTGAGGTTCAAATTAAGTTAACTAGCGCGATTCCCAAAATGTTGATAATAATTGCTTAGTAAACTTGGAAACTTGGTGGGTGATCCAAAAAGCTTTTGGAAGGGGAAATGCGCATCGATTAGTTATTGGTAGAAATTCTACTTACCACTAACAGACAAACTCTTTGTCCTTCAATAACGACTGTAAGGTCCATAGTTTTCTCGGAATAAATCGTTATAGTTGCCCTATCTTTGCCTGCTTTCCTTTCTTGCCTAACAGCCTCGTCGTGTGCAAAGGAGGGGACTAACGGTTTTTCCATCTGTGTTCACATAACTACTGGTATTTTGAAAAATGGGATCTACTATGCATATGCACCTAAATTCGCAAAGAAGAAGATAGTGCTGCGCTACATGTGGAAGCATTTCGCTCTTATACTGCTTTACTGGTTGAAGAGGTCAATTCGGCTCAAGGTCGGACCTCCGATCTCGCCGCAACCCGCCACTTCTTTGGATTTCAAAGCGCTCCACCATCGTCAAGTACCTCACACGATGCGCCTTTTACCCTGCTACGACAACCACCTTCTTCTTTTCCGGTCACAGACGTCTCCTGGCTGAGAATTTACTTTGCGACACTCAAAAAACCATACAACATATCCGACCCGCCCTGAAGCGATTGCGATGCCCCTCGATAATATCCGCAACATCCTCCTCGTGCTCTCCGGCAAGGGCGGGGTAGGCAAGTCGAGCATCACCACACAACTCGCGCTTACGCTATCGCTGCAAGGCCACTCAGTTGGTGTCTTGGATATCGATCTTACGGGCCCAAGTATACCGCGCTTCTTTGGAATTGAGGATTCAAAAGTAAGGCAGGCGCCTGGTGGTTGGATACCAGTCGATGTCCATGGAGCGCAGACTTTGCCAGGGAAGAAAATAAAGGGTGAGGAAGGAGAGAGTGCACAAGATCAAAAGATTGGACCGCTATCATGCATGTCGCTAGGTTTCATCCTGGCCTCCCGCTCTGACGCTGTCATCTGGCGCGGCCCCAAGAAGACAGCCATGGTCCGCCAGTTTCTCACCGATGTTCTTTGGCCACCGCTCGACTACCTTCTTATCGACACGCCGCCTGGTACCTCTGACGAGCACATTTCCCTGCTCGAAACTCTCCTCAAGAATACGACTCCTTCACCCTCGCTCAATCCGAGCCTACCCTTTCTTGCTGGCGCGGTAGTAGTAACAACACCGCAAGCCATCAGCATCAGCGACGTCAAGAAGGAGCTAAATTTCTGTAAAAAGACGGGCATACGCGTTCTCGGTGTGGTGGAAAACATGGCCGGCTTCGTGTGTCCCAATTGCTCGGAATGCACCAATGTGTTCAGTAAAGGAGGTGGACAGGTCATGGCAAGTGACTTTCAAGTTCACTTTTTAGGCAGCGTGCCGATAGACCCGGCGTTTGTGGAGTTGATTGAGAGCGGTACCAGGCCTGTGTACCCACAAGGGACGGTTATGCAGGGAAAGGATGTGAGTACAGAGGATGTTGCAAAGGCGAGAGATAGTGAGGGGAGCCTGGCGGACAAGTATCGGGATTGCTCGCTTTACCCGCTTTTTGATGGCTTTGTGACGAGGTTGAAGGCAGATGTGGCAGGGATAGAGTGAAAGCGGAAAGGAATGAAATGATGTGCTCTTCACCACCCTTCTGTCTCTTTGATGTTTTTGCAGCATTTCACATTGGGTCCCTGTATTGCGTGCTAAAATCTTCGCAGCCTAAACCGTAGACCTTTCTCTCTCGTTGATTCGCGAGAACTTACCGCTCTTTTGTAGTACCCTCACTCAAGCGCGTGAATTTCCTAAGCCAAGTTTACCGTTCCTGCTCGCATGTGTGCTCCAGTAAGGCATCAGCACCCATGGTGACATACCGCCTATTGCGGAAACCCGTCCGTGTGTCAAGAACACGCTGCCAGGTGAGAGCAAGCGTGGCTCCCACCTAGGTAAAGGTGAGCGAGAAACTGGTAGTGAAGAGCGTGTTCCCAAACCCATATATATAGCTTTCACGCAGTTCCTCTGCTTGATACCCTCTAACTCTCCTCACATAATCTCTCTTTTGCTTCTATCAACAATCAACGCAATCAATCTTTCCAACTGTACTCAACTGAGCAGCAACGAAGTATCCCACCGGCTTCACAATCTCCATTGAATATATGCCACACCGTTCATTACAACTTTCCGATACTGACTTTGATAGCGCCGAGCACTCTACACATGCAGTCCACGAACGAACCTAGCTCTCATGAGCTAGGAGAAGCTGGTGAGATTGCGAGACCTAGGGAATCAAGCGGTTTCATCCTCCACCGGGAGATGCAAGATTCGGTGGATGAATCAAACGGCATTGCAAGCTGGGGTCACGAGCGCGGAGAAACGGTTGTGGCTGAACAGCAGCAACTTGATGGGCTCGGTAATGGCGGTGACCAGGATGCTGCAAACTCATTGGGCAGTGATGCTATCAAACTGGAGCCTGGTCATTCGACAAACGATCTCGAGCGGATGGATGTGGATGATGGGGAGATTCATTCATCGACTCTTCCGCACGTGACTGGACCTGAGAAAGAGCCGCATCAAGACCATATAGAGAAGATGCGACTCGGCTTCGAAGGACATGAACGCGTCAAGTATCCTGGTTTCGTTGAAGGCCGATATGGACAGGATCATCCATCCTTGAATCCCACCAAAGCAACAGACTCTTGGCGCCATAAAGAGACTGCCAATTCAGGCTTCAAGGGCCAAACGACAGCAGATATGGATGGGCTGCAGAGTTACCAAGACCACAGCTCTACTGAATTTGTTCCACTCCCATACACCACTCTAGACATCCCTACATCGTTTGAGCCCTCCAGTACTCCTGCTTCATACAACCCACGCTTCCAGAACTACCCGCAGCAGCGGCCTTTTACCCAGCTCAACCAGTTCCCTTTCGACCCTAACTTTGATCGCCAGCAGCAGTTCCAAATCCAAGTCGACAACAGGAAACGCCAGATGGAGAACGCACAAAAGGAGTACGAGCAGAATCAGCGCCAGGCTCAACAAGCAAACAATGACTTCAGCTTCTCTCAGAACCAGGCAGGTGTTCCAGCTTCAATCCTCACGGGTCCATTGAGCTACCAGCGAGCTCCTCAAAGCACGCATCAAACTCTCCCGTTTGGAAACAACGGCACAAAATATCAGTCTCAAATGCAGTCTGAGTTTCCATACGATCAAACGGCATCGAAGCAGCCTCCTGCCTCGTACTCTGCGCAGAACCACGACACATCCAGTCAGACCACCAAGTTTCGCAACCAGCTACAGAGTGCGTACACTGCACCAGAAACACATGAACAAGACACCAAAGAAGAAGTCTCATCGGACGATGACGAACCCCTCAAAACCCGCCTAGCACGCCAACCATCCGCAGCCCCATCTCCTCAACCCCCCTCCCTCATAAACTGGAAACTCCCAGCCTACGACATCCACTTCTCCCCCTCCCCTCCCCCCGCCTCCACCTCCTCATCCAAACCCAAACCCACAAAAGATTCGTCCCTCCCCATCGCAAAAATCTCGCTACCGGGTCTAATCCGCGAGCCCCTCGTCCTCTCCCCGGACCACACAGCCCAAGAACTCTCCCTTCTCACCAACATCTTCCTACCAGGCCAGCAAGCGCTGGCAACACCAGACCCGGAGCCCGCACTTGCAGTGCTGAATTTCCACAGCATAGCCATGATGGTTGTGGAGGCGTACGTGCAGTTTGAGATTGGGGATGAGATGGGGAGGGGTGGGCCGGCTTATTTTTCAAAGTACTCCTCTTCTTCCTCGTCTGACGAGGATGACGACGGAGGTGCAAAGGGTAAAGGAAAGGCCAAGGCTAAGGGTAAGAAGAAAGAAGAGAAGGAGTACGTCCGCATCCGCTGCGCCCGCACCGCAAGCGTCGACGACATCTTCTTCGCCGTCATCGACCGGTGGCGTGCAGGCCTGGAAAGTAACAAGAAGGCTTTCAAGCTTATACGTGGCATTCAGGAGTTTGTGGATGTGGCGTTGGATGTTATTTTTTGGATCAAGGAGAATGGGCTTTTGGTGGAGGAGGAGGAGGAGGTGGGTGGGAACGAGGGTGAGCAAAAGGGCAAGGGCAAGGCAAAGGCAAAGGAAGGTGCAAAAGAAGAAGGCATCTCGGTGCTAACTGCTAGGAAGAAACCTGCGCCCAAGACCAAAGTTGAGAAGCAGCAGCAGAAGAAGAAGAAGAAAGAGGCGCCGGTGAAGAAGAGGAGGGTTCCGGTTACGCCTGGTGTTACGGTTGTGAGGAAGAAGTGATTTTGCAGAAAGTATGGCGGGCGGGGGGGCGGGATTGCTTCATCTTTTTTTTTTCTCCCCTTGCGAGTTTTCTATTTTCCAATGGTTTACGAGAATATTGGTCAAGGGGAGATGGCAAATCATAATTTGCAACAAGGAGGGGGCAGCAGAATATTCTTTGCTCACAAGTCATATTTCAAACGACAAACGACTCATGTATTTCTTTGAACAAAAATCAAGTTTATTTGCCTACATTTGACTACTATGCTGACATATCCCATGCTGACGTTATAACCTCCACCAAGGGAGGATGCAAAAAGACCCACATGTCTTCGGAGTTTCTTTTCTCCCCAATTGCTTGCATGCAACGTCACCCTTTCTTACCCCCTGCTGTGATAATTGTCAACAGGCGCAACTTCCTTGACGCTCTCCCAAACCTCATCAATGCCCTTGGTCGCTTCGCTGCTCAGCTTTCCCTTCTTGAGCCATTGGGCCGTCTGCTCCACCTGCGGCAGCTTGCTAGCTCCGAAGATGACACCGTCGTCGTCGCCCTGCAGCGCGCTGTGAAACGCAACCCATCGGTACGCAAGCTCGGCTTTGGAGACGCCCTCCTTTTCGGCGAGATCGTTCCACTTGGATAGCGCATTGCGGATGGGCTCCTTGTTGTAGAGGGTGGAGTAGAGGCCGCCGAGGGCCTCCTTGTTGAAGCGGCCTGCGCCGGAGTCGAGGTCTGCGGGTGTCTTGGTTAGGAAGCCGCCGGCGAGAGGCGAGTAGGCATAAAAGTGGATGCCGAGCTTGCGCAGAGTGGGGAAGAGCTGAGTCTCGAGGTGGCGGGCGACGGGGTTGTAGTTTCCTTGGTAGACAGATGGCAGAGGGTATCCCTTTGCCTTTGCAATGTCGTAGACTTGCTGCACCTGCTCAGCGCTAAAGTTACTCAGGCCAAAGCGGCGGAAGATGCCTTTTTTGTAGGCTTCGTTGATTCCCTCGAGGGTTTCCTCAAAGGGAATCGATGGGTCTGGGGCGTGGATGTAGAGGATGTCGAATTGCTCAATGTTCACCGTGTCCAGCGAGTCTTGGGCGTCCTTGATGACATTTTCCTTTGTGGCAGTGCCAGGACCGAAGCCGCCGGGCAGTTTGGTATCGATGGTAAATTCCTTGCGCTTCTCGAGCTTGCCAATGGCCTCTTGGGATCCGGGGTATATGCGTGCTGTGTCAATGTTCTTGACGCCGTTCTTGATTAGGACCTCAATGACCTCAGTGCGCTGTTCATGGGTGTTGAAGTATGCTTGGTCTGAGAGGGGAAATCCTCCGAAAATCGTCTTGACCATTGTGGCAGTGTTTGTGGCAGTGTTTGCTGAGATGTTGGTGGTGTTGTGGTGGTGGGGGGTGGGAAGTTGTGAGGTGTAAGCTTGACGTTGACAGCACCTTCCCCGCTCATATAAGTAGTATTTGTATACGTACTACATGCCAGATAGCATCGTCCCCCTGTTTCGTGGCTATTTCTAATCTAGTAGGTTGGGTCGGACTAAAGTCCTGCCTCGGTAGCGTGTATGATGCCTTATCCTACCCCTCTTCGGTCATTGATCAGTCCGAACTCCACAAATACAATCCTTCTGACAAATTGCGTGCAAAACATCGGAGCTAGCGGACCACAGTATATTCCTTGCAATCGTCTGGGATTGACAACAAGGTCATGTTTCGAGAAGCATCTCCCTTGCTAACCTATTGCAGCTGACTAATAAATGTACCCCTCTCGGCCGACTCACCCAATTGCGTCAAGCAAGTTTCTACTTCAATCTGCTGGGTTGCTTCAATGATAAATGAATGCTTCATTCTCGCAACGCGTGCGTACAATCACGTATCCAATTTCCTCTAACATATCTAAAAACCTTATGATGGCCCTGGCTCCATCTCTGTCCACCCACCATCTGCCCTCCAAACCCCAGCCTTTGTATAATCACCTCGTCGGCCACCGCTTAAGTATGCAAAGCGAAAGTACTCATTTACACCTTCCATGTGTCGAATCCAGGTCCAACTATCGTCCATCCTGTCTGTAAACTCGTGGTATCTTTCCACGTCATTGACCAAGACGCTCATGCCTTCGTAGGGCGTGGGGAATGGATACTGCCAGTCAAAAGTTATGTTGGGCTTAATATGAGCTACATTCACATTATTGTGAATGACTGGGGCTGTAATAATAGGGAGAGGGGTACCGCTGGGAGCGTCACCACGAAGAGCGCTGGGTGTTTCCAAGATGCTAGCAAAGCCCCAGCGCGCAACGCCATTGATGAACAGACCAATCAGGATACCTTGGTAGAGAAGGGAGGGCCGGGTTTGCATAGATGTGCCTGCAACAAGAAGAAGGCCAAGGATGTAATGATGAATCCTAACGTTCATCTTGGGTATCGCGACAAGTGTAAGTATACCTGCGACTAGGATGCCGTAAATGGCAAGGTAACGAGGAAGACGACCCTCGACCCTGAAAGCCCAGGCCTGGCCAAGAGCAATAAAGAATAGGGTAAGAACGATGATGATAAGGGCAGGGATGGCGCCTGGCTGGTTCTGGATCTCGTGAGGAGTGAGGCGCTCAATGGGAATCTTGTCAAAGGTGTAGTTGTTCAGAGCGCCTATCCAGCACCCTCCCAGCCAGAGAATTGTCTTCTCTATGTGCGCATCCAGGCCCTCGAGCTGGCGACGTACGGCGAACTGGTAGACAGCATACATACAAAAGCATGCCGGGAGCAGGCGCGCGAGCATTATACTGACAATCGCATAGTAGTCTGTCAGATTCGGCGGGTCCGAAGCAAGCGCAACGTGGACGAAGACGCCTAGGAATATTGAAGTGAAGAATACGGGTGGTGATGTGGTAAAGAGTGACAAGAGAATAGTGAATGTCAAGGAAACACCGAGCAGGGGCCATCGCAGGTCGCGGCACTTTGTCGCAGTTCCGGAGAGGAAGGAAAAGGAGCGTGGAAAGTAGGAATCGAAAGCAGTGCTCTTGATGTGCTTGCGATCAACGCCGGGATAGTTAGTCTTCTCACCAATCTGAGCAACCACGCCGCATCCACCTGAAGCGTCGTTGATGAATCCAGCATGGATGGCAGCAGCGCAAATGAATGAGTCGGCGCGGTAGTAAGTGTTTTCGAGGGATTCGTCGTCGTCTGTAGGCCCGCCTACGACGAGTGGACGGTAGTTCACCAACTGGTCTCCAACGGCATGGGGATAGATGAGTTGCACGCGCTTGCAGTTTGCGGGGCAGCGAAAAGGCATGGTGCTGTTCTCAAAGGGCCGGCACAGATCGCCATTGAGGCCGCAGCCATTGCCGTCGCTCCAAAAGCGATCTGTGCACCGTACGCGCACCGGGCTGCCGTAGCCTGGTATGTCCGCTGCAAAGGCACTACGATGCAGAACAAGGCCAAAGGTCAGGATCCAGCAAAAATAAAAGAAGACAAGTAGGGCAATCTTCTGTTTCCGTTTTGGGAAATAGTTGTTCAAGAGGTGAATGGGGGCAGCTTGGACACGTGGGAGGAATGGGCGGATCTTCCAGGGTCGCGGCGGCTGTGGGCCCTTGACCCAAACGACAGTGCTGTGCCAGGCGCGTTGCAGTTGTGGAGGTAAGTATTTGCTCATATAAGACTGTTGCGGTGGGTTGTAGTACTCCTGGGCAGAGGCCTCGGACGCGGCAATGAGCTCGGCCGACTGGTTGGAATGGATGCTGGCGTTTTCATCGTCGCGATAAATGGGCGGAGGGGCGCCCTCATCGTCATAGACGCCCTGATGGGAGTCCATGTCTTGGAGCGACGCCAACTCGTGGCGAGACGTGGGCGAGGACGACAGTTTGAAGGCTGAGGATGTGGCGATGCGCCGAGGCTTCTGGGGGCGGTTATCGATAGCGATGGGTGGGGATGTGGATGCGAGATGGGCGCGTTGCAGCTGGGATGGAAATGGGTACTGTACAGCGCAGAGAGAAGGAAAGAAACAAGGCGCAGGCCAAGAAACAGATTTTGTATAATATAATCAGTGATCAGCCAGGGCGGCGGATGACGGCCGGACCGGGCACAGGAGAGAGTTTGGCATCGGGAGCCGTGGGAGTCGCCGGGACCTGCATGACGACGAGGCCGAGCCTGTGGGGATCCCATGCCGTCGGCCTCGTGCGCTAACTCGCTGCAACGCTGCACCAGCACGTGGCCATGGTGGACTGCATACTTTACAGCTGTACATACTTATATACATGCGCTTGCCTACGTGTAGCAGACGTGGACAACGACCATCTGAAACACACACACGACCAAACAACGCTGGCCTGGGTGGGGACTATGGTCGGTTTAACGTCAAGGCGCCCGCATGCAGCCCGTTGGAGTTTAGCTGCGACACGCATACATGCTGAGGTCACTACCGACATTTCTAATCACCACTCCCTTATCCTCCAGTCCTCGGACTCCCAACCCGTCCTTCCCTCTCTCATCCTCATTGCCCCCTCCCTTTGGTAGACCATTACAAAGCCCGCCTGGCTGCGCTGCTTATCTACCATGGCACCCTACACTTCCGACCCAAGTTCTTTTCCAGACCCAGTCAGTCTCGCCCACTTGCTATCACGCAGCACAAAGGCCCGTGAGGCCTCGACCGTCAAGCAATTCTACAAATACTTTCAGATTCCCGGCATTGCCCAATTAGCTGGAGGTACATACTAATCTATGCTACAATACTTGTTACAATTGCTCACAACTGTCAGGTCTACCTGATGATCACTACTTCCCATATGACACACTCGAGGCCAAGGTCGCCCGCCCCGACCGATGGCAGCCAACTCCAAACAAACCCCTCGACCCCCCGCCTGAGGACCCTCCGTCCCCGCAGCAAAATAGATTCTGGGCCTTTTCGCGCAAGAAGGCCAAGCAGCTACCTGCCTCGCGTCTGGTTGTACCAAAAGACTCCAACGTGCAGGACCCTCTGCGCATGATTGACCTCAAGTCGGCGCTGCAATACGGCCAGGCCCAGGGATATCCCCCTCTGTACTATTTCATTCGCCAGTTCACTCGCGAAAACCTGCACCCCTTTGTTCCATACAAGGACGGGCCTGAGATTCTCTTGACCTGTGGTTCTACCGATGGCTTCTCAAAGACATTGACCGCCCTCAGCAACGAGTGGTCCGCAGAGCATGACCCCGTCGAAGAGCGACCCGGTCTTCTGTGCGAAACCTACTGCTACATGAATGCTATCCAGACCGCCAAGCCACGGGGCTTCAACATTGCACCTGTTGCCATTGACAACGAGGGCATGATGGTGTCCGGTCCGGGCGGTCTACAAGACGTCCTAGAAAACTGGGACTTCTCAAAGGGTCGTCGGCCGCACATCATGTACACCGTCACCATTGGCCAGAATCCCACATCTGGCACCCTCTCAGTCCAGCGACGCATCGAAATCTATGCCCTCTGCGTAAAGTACGACATTGTCATCGTTGAAGACGACCCATATTGGTACCTGCAGTACCCCTCTTCACTGCCCACTGGAGCCGCCCCCGTCGAGCCCCAAAAGTCATCAGGTTTTGAGTTTTTGGATAGCCTGATCCCCTCATATCTCAGCATCGACTACCAGGGTCGCGTGGTGCGCCTCGACACATTTTCCAAGACTGTCGCTCCAGGGTGCCGTCTTGGTTGGATCACTGCACAGCCCGCCCTTATCGAGCGGCTCGTGCGTATCACCGAGACCTCAACCCAGCAACCGTCTGGTTTCGTGCAAGCCATGGTTGCAGAATTGCTCATGGGCCCACAATCGTCCAGAGACCCTGGAAAAGGAGGCGCAGCAGACGGAAGCGGCTGGAAAGTCGAAGGCTGGGTGCGCTGGCTCGAGGGTCTGCGCGGCAACTACGAGCGCCGCATGCAGAAAATGTGTGACTCGCTCGATTCGGGCAAGGAGCTTGTCAAGGCCGGACGCCGCAAGAGTCTTGCTGACATTACTGGCCAAGAGGATGACTGGACCGTTGTCGAGAAGAGGCCTTTGTACACATTCGTCCGTCCACTCGGCGGCATGTTCGTATGGGTCCGCTTCGACTTTTCATCGCACCCTCTCGCCAGAGAAGTCCCGCGTTCCCGCCTCTCGAGGGCCCTCTGGGTCTTTTGGACAACTAAGCCTTATCTCTGTCTTGTGGCTCCTGGTAGCATGTTTGCCGCAAACGAGCAGATTCGCCAAAAGGATAGCTTTAACTGCTTCAGGTTGTGCTTTGCTGCTTGTCCTGCTGAAGATGTGGAAAACATCAGCACAAGATTTGTTGATGGCGCACAAGACTTTTGGAGAATCAAGACAAAGGCTAAGATTGATAAGCTACTTGAAGACGAGGAGGCGGCGATGGCGGGAGGAGACAACGTCGCCGGCATGTCCGTCTTGACCGGCATGTGCTAATTCTTTTCTTTTCATTTTTCCTTCCACCATATTGAACACGGGGGATTTAGGAGATATCATATACACGGCGTTTTTTTCTCTCTTCACTTTCTGACGATATAACGAAATATAACAGAATCTTGATCTAGTTTACCCTCTCTTTTCCCAGAACACACTCAGAAGTCAACGTCTCCTCCACCGTGAAACCCCCCCAGCTACATCAAAACCCTCGCAAACGCCTCCCCCACCCCCCGCCCAACCAACCACTCCTCCAACCCCCCCATATCCCCCCTCATCCCCCTCTCCCCCCTCCTCTCCCCCACTTGATCCGTAATCTCGCTCATACCCTCAAACACCCTCCCTTTAACCCCAACCTCCCTCCACCGCTCACTCACCTTCTTCTGATACGCCGGGATATCGCCCCAACTCTCCGTCTTGATAAACCGCATATACGCGTCGATATCGCCAGATGCGCCTTCGACACAGAGCAAACCGGGTTTCCCGGCAAAGAGGAAGCCGGTGAGCGAGTAGCGGGGCGCGTGCGTGGTTAGGTCGAGGCGCTTGGAGCGTGTGGAGATGGAGGGGAAGAGGAACCAGGCTCGTACTAACGGTTCTGGTGATGATGTTGGGGGGGAAGGGGAGGAGGGGGTAGGCGAGGAAAGGTACGAGGAGGCTTTTTCGAGGATGATGTCGAGGGTGTCGAGGAGGGAGGAGGGGTTTGGCAGTGATGCTGTCAAATGCATTGTTTGCGCTTTGCTGAGCCAGGTTGGTTGTTGCACGCGGACTTTGACTGCAGGCGGGTCTGTAGGCGGAATGTCCTGGTAGGTAAATGGGATGGTGAGGTGTAAGCGCAGGGTTTGCGGTGTGCTGCTTGATGGGGCTGTTTCCGGAGGCGAAATGGAAAGGTCCAAAGTAGCGGAAATGCTTGGGCTGGATTTTATGGCTTCTTGGCTTTTTTCTCCGTCGCTGTCGTCACGGAGCAGGGCGAGGGTCGAGTGCGCGGTGTCAGAGAGGGTGAGGTCGTCTGGGTACATTGCGAGGAGGAGGTCGATTTGGCCGATTTGCAGGTCTAGTAGGTCTTGCGGGAGGAGGTGCCATGACGAATCCATTGTTTTTTTTTTGGTAATTCAGATTTACGGGGTGTAAATTTCAAGGTAAACTAGTAGTACTTATGTGACTAAAATTATATCTAGTTTGGTAAGGATGTCTAGAGGTATATTCACAAACTGGCTAATTGAGCGAAGTCGGCGCTACGAACACACACAACACTGGAGCCACTAAGTTTTTTTCGGCCACTAGCCCCACAAGCGTATCATCTCGGCATTGCAATTGCTCGAAAGCCCATTTACGTTTCGGTACAATTCCTAGAATCACTATTACATTTTTTTTATTCGGCTATGTACAACGGGTTTGATTTGCTCTTACAGCTTGCTGCTCTCTGGAGCTGGCGTTGCCTATATTTTCAAGTCAGCTTTTTTCCGCAGATTTCTGTTTAACTTGGATAAAGGGCAGATGACGTACCTCCCACATATCAATGAGCACAGTATTTGGCTTGCCCACCCGTAGTACAGCAATGGCGGCGACATCGTTCAACCACGCGACGGTGTTGTTTCTGCTCGTCTCGAACTTGCCCCTCAGCATGTTGGGTGTGCTGTCCAGGTTGTCTTTTGGCGGCAGACCCTCGGTCTGAATGTAAATAATCTCGCCGGCGTCTGTCTGGAGCACATAACGCGTATCCGGTCGTGTCTTTCCACTGTTGTCCACCAAAAGCCAGTCGGCGCCGATATTCAGGATTTTGCCTGTATGTGAGATTAGACCTGTAGCATCGTGTGACGTCATTCTCTGCGAAAGGGGGGAGCGTCCAGGAGTCAAGCCATTTTGACAACCCCCTTTTCTTCCCACCGACTTTTATAATGAAGACGACATCTTGAACTACTTACCAGACAGTCTTGGTCCCTTGAAGGTGCCTCCGATGATGGGGATAATCGAGCGTGTTTGTCCATAAGGAATATTTTCAACATTGATTGGGGGAGAGAGCAAAGCCTCCATTCGGTAGAGCAGAGTCAATTGCGGCGGTACAGCTTCGTCTTGTGCCATGGCGAACTGTGCAAGCGTGGCGATGGCAGTAGCAAGAGGGTATAGAAAACGCATGATGAATGAGCAGTGTTGCCGAGATATATACCTAGATTATGGAATTACTAGCAGAAGCGTAGGTGAAACAGGAACAAGTCATGGGCATGTAGCTAAGGTTTTATACATCCACAAAGTACCATGCAGCTACTTGGTTCCTGGTGCCGTGATCAAGATCCGAGGATAATGCCTATAGGGTTAGTGTCTTTGAACCCCGCAATCGGCAGGTAATTTACCCCAGTTTTGATAAACTCCAGCATTCCCGGCAGATGAGGATATACGCGCTCTAGTCGCGCTAAGTACATTCTACCAGGTTATCCCGTCGGTCCTACTTGGCGCTAGCAACCGTTGCATGGCGGTGAGCAGGGTGCTAAATGTTAATCACATTTCTGGGGATTTGGAATCGAACATTGAATGATATGTAAATATACGTGTAGAGTGCCAACGACGTGCATGCGTAGAGCGTCATCAGGTACCTCTCTACCTTTACACGTTCTCCCCAAACGCCCATATCAACCACATCAGTAGACATGGCCGTTTGCCATCACCAATCCACCATGGCACTCCCAGACTTCAAAAAAGAGATGCTTTCACCTTACCTGCTGGGCGAAATGCCCAAGAGACACATACTATACCCATATGACTATCACAGCTAACCCAACATGCCCTACAACCTCCCCCCAAACCCCTTCCAAACCCTCAAAAAACTAACCCACCACGGCGACGGCGGCGCCCACAACCAAGGCATCTACCTAACCAAGCACCTCCCCACGGCCAAAGTCTACATCGAAAAGCGCCTCCTCCCCTCCCACGCTGCGAAACGCGAAATCCGCGCTATGCACCTCTGCAACCCACACCCACACCTCGTCTCCATCTTCACCTCCATCTATTCCCCTTCCACCTCTCTAATCTCAATCTACATGCAACACTGCGAGCTCGGTAGCCTCGACACTTTGATCTTACGCTTCAACGCACACAACAGCCGCTTACACGACGAAGGCTTCGTCTTCCGCGTCTTCTGGCACCTATCCCTCGCACTATGCTATCTAAGCACAGGAGCCGATTACGCCGCTACACGAGACGGCGCTTTTCGGGGTAAGGCTGCGGTGAAGAAGCAAGGTTGGGATTCCATGCTACATGGCGATATCAAGCCTGGTAACGTCTTCTTAACGCGCGATGGTAGCGCGTATAGAGGTGCGGATGCGCATAGTACGCTTTATCCGTGCGTTGTGCTGGGCGATTTTGGATGCGTGCGAGCGCCGCCGGATAGCTGTTCACGCTATCCGCGATTGCTGGGGCGCGGGGATCCGCGGTTTGAGGCGCCGGAGCGGGAGGGCAGTGTGTGGAGTGATGTCTACAGTGTGGGACTCGTGTTGCATTGTCTTGCGCGTATGGCGCAGGTTCCCGATGAGGTTTTAGTACGGGATAGGCCGCTGGGGAGGCGGTATACGGGATGTAGACATCTGGTGCAGATGGTGCGGAAGTGTCTGGCGCGGACCCCCGAGGAGAGGCCTTCGCCGCTGGAGCTGCCCAAGTTGGTGTTTGAGGGTTATCGTGTGTGGAGGCAGGCGAGGGGGTGCGATGGTGTTGCTTTGCCTAAATGGGCTTTTGGCTAAATGCAGTGTTTAGCAAAATACTCGTAGGATTCATTTATCTAGACATGATAGTGGAGCTGTTATTCAGCACGAGTTGCATATACCCTTTCTTCGTTCAATGCGACAAGAAACATGGGCTCGGGGACATCCGAGCTGCCGACTTTCGAACCTCGATACGGGTATCTTAGATCACAGACGCTAATCTGAGTTACCCACACCGATCGATAAGATTGCGTAGATGCTCGTAAACGGCAGGTGCTCGCGGAGTAACAGTAGTTAGGTTGCCTGGTGCTAGTGAAATGAGCCGGGTCGGGCCGAATGAAAAGTTGCTACACAGAGTTCGTATCCATATGCCGGCAAGTTTGCTTGCGTAGTACAGACGGGAGAGATGGCGAGAAGTGAGCAAAGTGCAGAGTGGCATAGGTACTTCCACTGATATGGAAGAGTAAACCTATCTGAAGAGAGTCGTGGGAACCCATCAAGACAGCTAGCATTGGGAAAGAATCTTACAAAGGGTACTCGTATACACACAAATCCTGACTATAATTTACATTCAATCCATCTTACAGGTCTAACAGAATTCCTGAATACTGAACAGGTTGATTGCTTCCAAAATAGTACAAAAACACAAAACAATGAACACAGTGGATAGGTCATCGAAAGCACCATCGACAAACGTGTTTTTCCTCAAATCCCTTCCAAAGCGCCATGCCAAAACCAAAAATACACATACGATATCTCTCCAATCCGTCCGATAATGACAACAAAACGCCAACGCTAAAAAAAAAAACATCCCCATCACCACTTGATCAAACAAACTTGACCAAAAAGAAACCAATCCTCCAACACCTATACACCCATATCTCTAAGTCTCCTACAAGTATGCCATCCAGAGCGGATCGCACTGGCTCAACTTGGCCGGGTGTACCGCTACAGCAACGAGATCAACCACAGTCTGGTTTGCCGGCAGATTAGCTCCAGTGGGCAGGCTACCAATAGCACTAGCCCTCTTGACCACTAAATCGCTGTTGTTCTGGACACTCTCCCTAAGGACCTCTGGTGTCAACTGATTAGCCTTGTGTTGGCTGGTGAACCAGTGGTTCATTTCATCGCGCATAAAGATGCTGAGTTGCATTTCCAGCTCGCCCTCGGGTTCGATCAAGCATCGAGCCACAGTCATGACGCTGGGAGCAAAGATGCCTTCGAGATTGAGCGGGCCCATGATTGTTTGCAAGTTGGGCGTCAGACGGAAAGGTACAGGCTCCGAGTTGTGTAGAATGGGCTTGCCGACAGCCATGCTGGGAATCAATTCAGATCCCCAGATGCGGCCGCTGGCACGGGATACGCTGATCTTCTGTGGGAAGCGCGTGTTCATGTGCATAACGTACGTCATAAACGTGAGAGCGGCAAGCTGGTAGCTGAATGTGCGACGGAATAACCAGAAGTCGTCAAAGGTGGGGAACGTGGCGCGGAAGTAGTCCTGGATGACTGTTGGAGGTACATATTTCTCTTGAACAGCAGCAAAGGTTTCGAGGCGGATACTGTTGGCGTGTTCCAGGTTTTTCTGTTCGGTTTGTATTAGTTCTTGTTCACCAACCAATGTGTTACGTCCAACACTTACAGGCTGGAGAGCTCTCAGTTTCTCGATACTAAAGAGTATGGGCTCGTCCTTATTGATGCCATTCTTACGGCAGTAATCCTCGTAGATACCCTGCATGTTGATGTACGACGCATCATCTTGCACCATGCGCACACTGGGTGTGATTGGAATCATAAGCGGAAGGTGGAACTGCAAGTTCCTCCTGCGGCTCTCCTTGCGCTTCGCCAAGATACCGTTGAAGATGCGGAACAGCTGGACAATGCGCTCTTCACGCCTTGAGCTCCTAGCAGCAGGGAATTGGATAGCAAAAGGATGAATGCTTCCATCATGGCCACGAATCCTGAGACGGCGATGACAGATGCCAATGCCGCGCACCAGTTCCACGTCGGGAAGGAAGCGTTCGATGCGCACAAAGTCGGAGTTCTTGTCTCGGTGCTGCAGATATTGTCCAGGTACCTCGACATCGTCAAACTTGAGGAAACGGAACTCGCTGAGTTGGTGTGTATATTGCTCAAGCGGCACCGTGAGCTTCCTTCGGTCGAGCCTCTCTTCAAAGCGATTCCGCCAGGTCCGCAACTTCTGAATGTATTCGTACATTGTCGGCTTGTTGGTAACAAAGTCCTTCTCGAAAGCCTTGCGAATGTGTGGTGGCAGAACAGACTCAGCGAAACGCGTGATGTTAGCTTCGGTCGATGCTGGTAGTTTGATCTCGCGTGCGTAGAGATTTGGCTGGCGGCCCACATAAGACAGCCCGTCGTTTAGCAGAGCTACGATCAGTCGGTAAGCATCTTCGTCAGGGGGGCACTTGAAGTTCTTCTGGATTTGGTCGAGCATTGTCTCCATGGATAGCGCGAGTAGTGGGAAAGCCGTCTTAAGGATAGCACTGATCTCTTCGACATGGTCCCATGGCTTCTTTGGTGCTGGAGGAGCATCGGCAGGGGCGGGTGCGTTGCCGGCCTTTGGACTGCCTTGCGCTGCACCTTCTGTCTTGACTGTACCGTTGGCCGTTCCGTTGGCTGCAGGCTTGGTATCAGTGCCTGCGGCCGCTGCCTGGTTACCAGATTCGGGTGAAGCTTGTTTCGTTGCTGGTGAAGCCTGCGCCTGTTGCTGCTTCGCCTTCGCCGCCTTTTCCTTTGCTTCCTTCTGCTCATGCGTCTTCTTGAGTACAGCCATATCTTCTCGTGTCGTGCGGAGATGGCAGTACAGTGCCTGTGGATATGTCTTTGCCAGTTTTCCAAGAATGGATCTCGCAATAGGAGCTTCCTGTCGCGACAGACTGTTCAACAACTGCGGAATGTAAGTAATCCAGTACCACGCTGGCGTATCACCCTTGAACTCTTCAAACTTCTCCGCCAATTTGCGCTCCGGGTTGTCTAAGCTGAGTAACCACAGAACACGTCCAAGCAGTTTCCTGGACTTGGCGTTCTTGAATTGGCTGGCAGCTTCCAAGTAGCAGCTGAGCGCTGCCTCTGCCCTCTCCAGGTTCTGTGGCTCCTCCTTGAACAGCATGTCGTTGTAACGTCCCCACTCAGCCCATGCCTTTGGCAGCTTAATGTCAAAGTACAACGCAGTGCCAAACGCTTCACCAGCTTCGTTCTTCTGGCCCAACTTAGCCAGGAACATACCCTTGAGAGTGTAGAATTCTGCCTTCTGATTCGGACCAAAGTAGTTCAAATTGGTGTTATTAATCACATCTAGGCCACTATTGAGATCGGCCTTGATCTGGTAGTGACACTTTGCCTGTTCACGGAGCTTCAAGAAGGCCTCTTGAATTTCAATGTTGGGAAGAGTGTAGATTCGTCCAAGCTGGTTGATGCACACTTCGGGCAAGTTGTGTTTGCGTGCCACATGTGCAAAGCGATTGATGATCCATGCAGTCTCGTGGTAGCCTCGGTATGCGAACGAGTTGCCGCTGGCGTTGTTCTGGTTTGGAGGCAGCAGATTCAAGTAAACACCGTTAATGAGCTGGAAGATATGCTGGCGCCAAGTGACGAGATCCTGCCATGCGTTGATGTCATCCCAGAAGTTCGGCAGGCGATCGCGCCAGGTGCTGAGGAGCAACTTGAGCTCCTGCGATTTGACATCCAGGTTTACTTGAGTAGTCTGAGCAAGACTCTGACAAATGACACTAGCATCATGCAACTCAACAAGTTGCTGGAAATGCTGCAAGAGCGGGATGTGTGCCTGGGTGATGCGTCGTGGAAGCTGGTGCCATTTCCTAATGGAGAGCTGGATGGACTCATCACAAAGTCGATGGAACTCTGGTTGCGACTCTTGCTTGTTGTGGAGCTTGAGCAATGACATGAAGGTCTGGAAGAAGACTCTTCGCGGTGTTGGTGCATCGCTAACAGCTTTGATAGTCGCATCGAGCTGTTCGCGGGTTTCGGCATTCTGCCAGGCATCAAAGACGCGCCAGGTTGACTCCAGGTAGAGATCGTTAAAGTTCTCATGCTTAGCAAAGTCACTCAGAATCTCCCATTGTTGCAATTTCTGTGCGCAGATGACCCAGTGATCTTCCCAGAGCATATACTCGCCGGTACTGAAGGGAAGAACAGATGTGCGGGCTTTGATTTGTGCAGCCTCGTACATTTGCTGGGCCTTGTCCCAAATGCCACACTGCTCGTACGATAAAGCAGCATTGCTTTCAATGAATTGGCAACGTCGACGCCATGTCCCGTAGAACAGGTCGTCTTCTTGTAGGCCGCTGTAAATCTCCAACAGAGCATCCAGGTTGCTCTCACGCAGTTTTTCGACGTCAACGACGGGGGAAATGGCAGATTCTTCCATGTACACTGCAGCAGTGTACCAGGCGTTGTACGTCTGGGCCAGATACTTCATGATGTGAGGCGGGAACTTGACCCGTGGGCGGGAATGCACGATAGCATCGAGCATGGTTGCAACACAGTTGGGTCGTTTATCGAGTTGGCGGGAGTGGTAGTCCTTCGTGAGCAAAGCTGCCATGCCCTTTTCAAGGTCGCTCTGATCGTCTTTTGTAAGTGCAGTCCAGGCTAGTGGGAAGAAAGCCACCCAAATGTCGTGTGCCAGGTTACTGTCAGTGTGCTGCAAATGACCGAGCGGTTCGAAAATGTCCTTGACCTTGACATCAGCAAGCTGGTTGCAGAAGCGGCGATGGCTGATGATAAGGTTCTCCAGCTCGTCATCGACCATGACATCTCCAATCCTGGAGTCTCGAGCATAAGTTCCAAACAACGTGCTAGGTTGCATAAGGCGGAAGTCTTCTGAATGAAGCTGCGCTGGAGTGCTCATCTCGACTGAGCCAAACATCAAATGAATGACCTGACTGAGCCAATAGCTGTCAGAAAGGGTATCCCAGTTTTGAGAAGCCAGGACGTAGCTGAGGCGACTGGCCGCAGTACGGCTCAAGCTCTTGTCAAAGATGGCCATGTATCTGTTTCGCATC